CACTACGAAGGAAAACCAGAAGAACACTTGGTTTATAGCTATTTTTGGTAAGTATTAAAGAAAGAAGATCCATGAGAAGAAAGATTTGTATTTGTTCTTTATTTGGTAAGTATTTACGTTTTGGTAAGTGTTTGAGATTTCATGAAATATACAACCAGTAAGACTTTTGCATGTAGTTCCATGTTTGGTAAAGTATCTCTACAAGATTATACGTATGAACTGCACCAAATACTACATAATGTCCCGAATAAAGAGGATTTGATCCAAAGTATCTTGATCCAAAGTACTACGACGGACATTGAAGTGATCATCGGTATCAGAATACATCTGATCCGTTGGTCTTGAAGTTGCTGGTATACATAGATACTGTAAAGCTAATCGACATAACAGCGGATATTGGCGATGGTGTGACTTCCACCATTCGAAAGGGTTTCTCAAATCCCGACTAATCACCTCACATTTGAATCTTTCAAGCTCTTCAATGGCGTCTTCCCGAACATCAGATGGTGACGGCAAAGACAATTCAACAGGGTCGTCCTTGGATTGACTGAAAACATCATTGGTAACATCTGAAAAATCAGAATAATCGCCGAGCAAAAATTCCATGGTTCGAGCCCGTTTGGATTCTGGTTCCTCAGTATCGTCTGTCTTGATGAGTTGACGTTTCCTATCTCGAAGGTCTGAGCGCTTAAGTTCTACTAAAAGGCGTAGGATATGATCCCAGGCTTGACATCGCTGTGTTTCGCTGAAGAACTTTAATTGCTTGTATCTTGGATCTACAGCACTAGAAACAACTGGAGGCACAGTAACCAAGGTCTCGTTGGGATGGGATGAATAGACCTCTTGCAACGTTTTGGATATGGTGGCTTTAAAACTTTTGATTGCTAAGGAATCTGTCGCTTTAACCTTCAAGTGTATTTGTACCAAGCCTGTAACGACGGGATATATTATTCCTGCTGTTGGGAACGTGTCAGCTTTAAGAACCGAAGTAACTGCTTTAAACGGCTCCAGAACACGAACAACATCCTCTATTGTGGACCAATCAACTTCTAAAATTTCATACTGTCTGGCATCACGAATACCAATTATGCCTCTGTCGTTTATTATGCTTATAACAGCCAGTCGTTGCTCTAGCATCCTTTGAAGCATAACATATATCGAAAGCCAGTGGTTAGCGTCGAATTTCAGCAACTCTTTTTCGGGAAGATTCAGCTGACGTTGCTTGTTTCTGAATGCATCAAATGCATGGGAATTAGTCTGGATGTGAGAGGTGAGTTTAGTTGCTGCGTTTAATATTTTAGTCATGAACGACATGTCTAGTCCTTTCCGAATACCTTGTTCTAAAGCACTGCCCAAGCAACTTACGATTGGAAACCCAACATCATCAGGACAAGAGGACGTTACGACTAGAATTGAATTGTTGGAAATGTCGAAATTATCCATTGCTGAGAGGAATTTGAATTTGACTGGGCAATCAGTAACATCAGCCATAGAGTAAGACGACAAAACACGACTCTTTTGAACCCAATCTGAATCAATAAAATGGACTCTGACGGTCGAATACGTCTCACCGGAAGAATGTACCCAATTCTCTAACGAAAATGATAATTTGCTATGCCCTTTCATTGCAAGAACGAGAGAATCTTTGACTGTAGAGTAATACGATAACAACTGATTATGGATAGTGGTGTTGCTAGGAATTATACAATTAGGATCCAATTTGAGACAAAAAGATTGAAATCCAGAACCTTGAGTTATATTTAAGGGCAAGAGATCAGTTGTACACAACTCAACGAGAGAATTCGTCAATGAATCCCATTCAAATGATTCAACATACAGGTCAGCCGAGTTCAAGGGTTCGGAAACTTGGACACCAGGCGAAGAATTTGTTGTGGCGGGAACATGAAATTTATCCAAACTAGGAAATGATTGCGGACACGTAGTTTTGTATAGACTAATGGCGGGGTGTTTGAATGAAAGGTGATTTCGTAAACTTGATGTCGAATTTTTGTACGTTAGCAAACTACCACATAGATTACATTTCGCCTTTTCAGCTTCAGGTATAGCAATGAAATACTGCCATACTATGCTTTGTTTCTTAGCAGAAGACATAATCACTAAAATATATGAGCAGAACAAGTAATGTTAACCGTGTGCTGCGTAATTTAACTATGATAATAAAATGATATTCGGATAACCTCACCGGAAGCGTGACGCGAGCGATCTATTGTAGGTCAATGTTGAAATCGGTGAAGATATTCACACTTAGAGGATTTCAACGATTGCAAATGATTTTAATTTTTAAGTTCATCAATGATTTACAATTTTTCACAGTTTTGCCATAATTTAATGCTTATATTATGAGTAATACGAGATTATTTACTCAAATAACCGTGTTACTTCCCTTAACTTGCAACGCATAAATTAAAATTACAAATATTGTTGACGAGTTACCTCCCTTAACTAACAAAGCATAAATTATCTAGGTCAATGTTATATGTTGTATTATATAATTCATACGAACATATTTAAAGCTAAATTTAATGTTTCTGAGTTGCAATTCACATAAATTTGTTCATCACCTTAAATAAATGTGAATAAATATTACCAAATCAATTGAAACAACACAATTATAAAAATTATGAACGAGTTATCTCCCTTAACTACACCGCCCAAATTGTCACATGTATAATCCGTATTTTTCCTTTAACAGATTATCTAAATTCAAAAAATTCAAACTAAGATGGGTTGGATCATTTGAAAACCTGACATGATTTGGTATCGAAGTACCTAACTCATATACTAAAACATGCAGTAGTATAAATATCATCCATAGATTTCTTTTTAAGTTGTTCACATCGTGATATTTCAGTTCTTAAATGATAGCCGAGAGTCGAAATGTGCTGCACTAAACTTTATAAAGTTTCTGTATATATATTGGGGTTTGGTATTTCTCTCTGAGCTGACTGTATCTAGGACATACTAGTAGAAACTGATGTTTATATTCAACACCACGAAGATCCCTATGCCTTTCAACATGCTTTTACCGACCTATTTCTACGTAATGGATACTTAGTCCGATATTGTTAGAGCTTTATTGTATTTCAAATTAATTATAGAGAAAAGGTAGGTCTATCGGGAGTCGAAACGAAAACTCTGGATGTTAGAAATTTACTTTGTTCAACATGAATGGAGGCAGTATAAATCGTTTTGAAATAGTTTTGTATTTTCACCTTGTTCCTACAAAAAAAGTTATGAGCAATATACATAAGAAAAATTAATATGTACGTGATTAATTTTTGCTTTAAAATGAAGTCTATCACACTAGCTGTGCCAGTGCCAGTACTTGTGACCTAGGCCAGTGCTTTTATAAGAGTTTCTCTTATAAAGCCTTCTACAAGTTCACCATTAATCAACATATACGTCCAATATTTTCCATTAGATACATTTTCATTACTTTGACATCACAGTAATGTCATTGGTAAACTGCTTCACAAGACCAATAAAGCTGAAGACACATACATGCGGGTGCGATGCCTGCGTTGCGATAAACCGGTGCGATTATGTGGTACTGTTGCGGCAGGAATGACAAATACGCGCGGTTTGCGTTAAATTTGACTGAACTTCGACGTTCGTTCAACTTCAGTCATCATGGATGTCTTGGAGGAGGACGACGATGCTTTATTCCTGATGGCTGCAGTGCACTACAGACGAGAGAGGAAGAATCGGAGGGTATGGGTGTATCCCATTAATAGACTGCACCCCTATTTTCTTGGCTATTTCTGCCCAGGCATTCAAAGATTTTTGAGAGTTATGGTAATCCTGAGCTTGTGGTTTGTACAGATAAGGCCGGGATTTTACCAATTTACAAAGCTCCTCTACTTCTTGGAGTTATTGCTGCTGGACGTGGCATGTTGACGGCTTTCACTCTGTAATAATGGGGTTTCCATAACCCATAACGTCCATAACTTTGCCTGTCTCGAAATTAAATGGAGGTAGAGAAGGTAGTTTCATTGAAAAGGATGGTCACCAGAATGGGTCATTCTTTGTGTATGAGAAAAGAGACAGTAGAATCATAGCTATCTTAGTAGGCTTACTGGGAATTTGCCCAAGTCGATATAACATGGCCAGGAGTCGTTTATATACGTTTATATATGGTGATGTGTAAAAAAAAACTAAGAAAAGCTTATAATAGTAACAAATTATAAAACTAAAAGATTAAAACATCGTCCATGTCTGAATTGAGCTGAAATCTCTACCAATCCGAATGTTTCTTCTTGCTTGCAAATATCAACAAATATCAACACCAGTTAAGAATTGAATGTAGATTTTTTTTACGTTCATTGTTTGACGAACGCAGGATTTTAACGTGTTAATTTGAATGAATAGATTTAACACGTTATTGTGGGCTGATAAGAGATGCTCGAGATGAGTTATCTCCCGTAATGCTCATTAGTATGAAATTAGGTCAAACGCAATTAACTGAATATTTTTACATTTAGAATCAAAAACAATTATCCCGACTTAGATAACCATTAAAATTTAGTATATTTCCTTAAGTTACATTAATCAATACGTTATAATTAATAGTTGTAACCATTAATATCTGAACTTAAATATTTAATTACGAGTTGCCTCCCTTACACTGGCAATGAACATAGTAAAATAGGACAAGGACAAATTATGGAATTCTGTTGTAATAGAGTACAGTTCCTATCGTGAAATGTTAGTGTTTGGAATATTCTAATGGTCTTGAAGTGAAAATATCTAAACTTACAATACAGCATGTTATGATCTGCCTGAATTGGATAGTGTACTATTATTTACGATAGTTAGTGGTATTAGGTGCCAAATGTGCTATATATAGACCTCGAACTTCGTAATGCCATAGTGTTATAATGTTAACTAGCCCAATAGTGAACTCTACTCAGGATAATAACTTAATAGTGAATTTTCAATCGGAGGAAGAAGACAAAGACTGTGACTATGAAAGTGTTAAACAGTTACATGCCGCTGCTGTTAATGGTGATAAACATTACTTAGCAAGACTACTGACAGCCTTTCATCATTATATTGATTATGGTGACGAGTTCGGTCGTAATGCCCTGATATTCTGTATACTGGCTGACAGGTATGATTGTGCCGAGTTGTTATTGAAGAATGGCTGCAATATCAATCATAGAGATAAAGGTGGACGGACTCCGCTACATTGGGCAGCTCACAAGGGAAATTATAAGATGTTAAAACTACTCCTGTCGAAGGGGGCAAGTTGGTACGAGAAGGACAACGAGAGTCAAACAGCACTACATCTCAGTACCAGACATAAACAGTATAAATGTCTATCTTTATTATTACGGCATCTTTCACCGGCCGAAATTGATGTACAGGACAATAACAAGAGAACCGCTTTACATTGGGCTGCATCCTATGGGAATTTCGAACATGTTAAAATGTTGCTGAGACAGGATTCTAATATTGGTATTCCAGATATTGAGGGTAAAACACCACTACATTGGGCAGCAAGTAGTCACGATAGGTTAGCAGTGAATTGTGTGAAGCTTATATTGGAAACTACCCCGAGTGTAATTAACTGGCAAGATTTTGAGGGACGAACTGCACTCCATTTGGCAGTAGCTGATGGTAATGAGAGTATTGTGAATATTTTGACTTCCGTCTCAAAATGTGATGTTTCAGCCTTAGACAATATGTTCAGGACTCCCTTACATTGGGCAGCAGTCTTGGGTCACTCTAAAATTGTGCGTATTTTATTGGAGAAAGGAGCAGACTATACAAATTCTGACTTTAATGGTGCTACCCCACTTCATTATGCAGCACAGAACAATTTCAGTGAAACCGTAGAAATCTTTTTGTCGTCCATCACCCTCACCGAAGATATGCACGATAACGAAAGACGATCTGCCTTCATGTGGGCAGCTGGTAAAGGTGCTGATGACGTGATCAATGTATTTTTTAAACATGGAATAGATCTACACCAGGTTGATAAAAATGGAGCTACTGCTCTACACGCTGCTGCCTTGTCTGGCCATGAGTCAACAGTGAAGTTATTGCTAGTCCTAGGTGCACACATTGACATTGAAGATCATGTTCACCACACACCATTGTTCCGAGCCTGTGAGATGGGGCATACAGATGTGGTCTGCTGTTTGTTGGATATGTGTTCAAAGGTGGATACAGTTGACCAAGAGGGAAGATCAACCTTGCATTGGGCAGCTTTAGGAGGTCATGCTAATATCTGCCAAATCTTGATTAACCACGAAGTAGATCCTAATGTAAGAGATTTTTCTGGTCGGACACCGCTACATTGTGCAGCGTATGGTGGTTATGTGAACTGTATGTCGGTGTTGATCGAGTTTAATGCCGATTCTAACGCTCAGGATAGTGAGGGCATGACACCATTACATTGGGCCTGTAGTAAGGGTGATTTAGATGCTGTGAAACTATTATTAGAGAACAATGCTTATCCCAATCAAATGGAATATACTGAAGACCGATATACTCCTCTAGACTATGCTTTAATGGGCGAGAATCATGATGTGGCCCAATATATGATAGAACAAGGTGCGCTGTCAATCACGGGCATACAGGATATTGCCGCTCAAAAAATCCAGTCCGCTTTCCGTGGATATCGTGTCCGCAAAACTTTCACCGAAAGGAAGATCTTATTGATGAAACATGAAAAGTTAAAGAAAGAGGCAGCAAGGAAGCGAGCTGTTACTGCTGATGATAAACATTCAGACTACACTTTACAAACTGCTTGTGATAAACGTGCAATACACATACCGTTAGTTACACAAACATTTATAGTGGATGACATTCGCAAGGTACAAATAAGTCAAACACTTGATACCGAAAGCAGTACTGTTCATTCTTGTCCGGGCGATCCTCTTACTGAGGATTCGTCTGCATCAAAAAAGACTGCGAAAACTAAGATAGGACGTGTTAATCAGATGGATCGAAATCAGGCCGTTACTATAATTCAGAGAGCTTGGCAAAGGTACAGATCGAGAAAATGTGCTAAGTCAATTAGTAGTTGCCAAGTTTATGATTTACAACATCAAATGGCAGCTTTAAATATTCAGTTAGCATGGAGGAAATATTATAGAAAGAAACAATTAAAAACTGTTAAACCAAATAGTCAATTGTTGCAGAATTGGCATCCTTCGTTTGTGTCTGATAAACAACAGACATTATCACAACAAATGAAGGCTGATCACTCCAATGTCAAGGTTACAAAAGATTTTAGCAGAAAATTTTCTTATAACTTACACAATTAAAAATCATTATGTTTCATGTCATACCTAGAAGTATATTCTGCTATATGCCACTATTATTATGATATATTGATATATCGACATGCTGAACATTCTGGTCATGATAATTGATATGGATCTTATATCCCGATAAAAATGAAAATATATAGAATCATAAAAGAAATTAAAATTTGTATTATATACATATAACATATGAGTCAGAAGGAAAATTACTTGTTATCAATACAAAGTCACCCTCACATCCTTGCCCAACACCTTCTTACTAGCTGTATATCTGCATTGTCTTAAATATATAAGGTAGATATTCTTTACAATAGACACCACAGTTGCACGAAATGGAGTAAAATATACCTTTAGAATCAGTAATTCGACATAGAAGGCGGATGTAAGAAAAAAATCCGTAAATCAACAGAAAAGTGTGTATATCAGCAGAAATTTACGTATGTCAACAGAAAATACAAAGTAAATTTCTGTAAAAAAAAACGGACGGGTCGGGTGGGGTCCTGGAAATCCAATCAGCAAGGTATATCGTTCGGGATATTCGTCCTTTATCGGCAGGTATTATGAAATTACCTTGTTCGATTTTAGGTATACACGTGTCGTGCAAAACGTGCACCGTATACCCGAAAGTATACTTCTATTTGAACTCGACCTAACCTACCAATTTCTCTTTTCATATCATTAATTGAATATTCTACATTACCCAGCCTGATTGATGTGACGCCCAATGTGGCTCAATTATCCTTATTATCCATACTGAAAGATAGAAGAAACCTTGTGATTTATCCACAACACTACGATAGAATGTTCACCAAGGTATGAAGAAATATAACTCAGATGGTTATTACAACAGCTCAAAAGAACAAGGTTAGAGGTCACGATGAATAGAACTCAGAAACAGAGAAGCGATAAAAGAAAGTAGAGGCATTGAAGTGTAACTGATAGAATACTGTGTACTGAATACAATTAGATTTAAAACAAGGTATGACGTCACCCTGTGATTTTTGTTTATATAGGAGAATATACAGTTTACGTAGATCGTCTATCCATTATTGAGAAAACTGTCCATTATTTGCAATTAATAATGAACAGTTTCATCAATAATGGACAGTTGCAAAGAATAGACACTATTTTAAGTAAGTCTATTACCTCGAAGAAAACAAATTAAGATATATGAACACAATTTAAAACTTCACAGTAATAGAAATATCAGATGATTATGTAGGATGGTTTCCTGAATTCTGATATCTTGATTATCTGGGTTTGTGCCTGCATAATTTGTTTTTTTCGCACTGTGAAGAATATCACCTTAGTCCGACTGTTGGATGTAGTTCTCTTGTAAGTGCACACGGCACTTGAACGATGTCATTTCTTTTCAACAATAAATTGTTCATCTACATCGGCTGCATAAAACCTTGTAGCACATTTGCTCTTTGGGAATGATTTGAAATGTTCCCTTCGAATCCAGCTTTCTGGCACATACTCTTCAACTTATTATAATAAATGAACGCCCACTGGAGAATCACAAAACCAAATATCGCTAGTTGGTGGTTTCCTTCGTCTTAAATAAAACGCATCCGTCTTGACCTGCAATATAAACATTCATATTATTTTACAACTTATTTATGTTAAGTATATTTCATTTTTGCTAAGACACTTCGGCACGTGTTGAATTGAATGAAATGGAACTACGTCTTGCATATTTCTCTATTTTGTCTTTGTACTTGTCATCAGACAATGTATTTTTGAAACGCTTATTAATGATAGAAGCCAATTGTTCTGTAATTGGAGCTGAAGTTTGCTCGTCTCCATTTAATTCACTATCTAATTGTGTCACTATGTCCATATCTATATCTTTGGATTGGACTGAATGATTTGGCATTAAGGCATCAGCATCACTCATATCACTTTCATCACAGCATTGCCCAATATTTTGCTCAATATTTTGAGATATAATGTTCATGGTATCTTGTAAAGTAATCATAACTGGCAAGATATTCTCTCCGGTGGTGGAAACGGGACTTTTACAGTATTAGTTACATTCATTGCAACGTCTGTATTGAGAAGATCATCTTCCTCCACATTCGAGAGTATTGACAAATCGGGAGACATCGCTGTATGTGGCTTAGTCGTCATGACTGTCCCAACAGAACTGTGGCAGAAAGAATGCCCAAACAAAACTTTAAATCATTTATAAATAGGGCGAAAACTTTGTTAAAACCTGTGCAGAAAGTTTCTTGCATACAGGCCAACCAACTCGTTAAAAATAGACTCTATTTTCTAACAAGTTCAATCTGGATTATCTCGATAATAAAAGTAGAGATATTCAATAGCGGAGCACGCCGAAAAAGCTGATATCTACTACGCATGCCTTATCTCACATGGATTCAGGAGTGACCTAGCCATGGTATGAAGTAGAATTCATTTTTGCTAAGACACTTCGGCATGTGGTGAATTGAATGAGATAAAACTTCCATTGTCCCGAAAAGATAGAATTGGAGTTGAGTGGGCAATAAACCCCATTTCATTAATTTGGCGGTTCATTGAAAAGTATTAGTTATGGCTAAACAATTTGACAATACAGACATTACCTACCGTAAGCTCATATACTTTTCATACAATGGAACAGGACATTTTGATGTGTCATTTTAAGCTGTATACGACGATGATCTAATCCACCACGATTTGACTTTGATACGTCGTCGATATATTTTTTCTATTGTCACAATCCAATCCAATAGATAACTCTGATAAGTTTTCCACACGCAAATTCTTGCCTATAGCAGATACAGCCATTATGAACTGTCTATTTACAGAGTAATGCCTGCTCCCTTCACCCTGCTTTGATGTCCTAAAAAAGCTCAAAATCCCAGGTTTTATTTTTGCCTTATGTGTTTTAGTCTACTTGCAGTTTTCCCGACAACTTCTCTAATACCAACTACAAAACGATCACGTAGTATCAACTCTTCTCTCAATGCACCATATCAAAATACTAAAAAAAATAGAAAGGTAAAAACAAAAACCTTTATAAAAACATTTGGTGGCAACTCGACATAGTCAACTATTGTGATGACAATATTAAAATGTGTATCATATATATATATATATATATTTGCTCAACTAACGTGTTGATCTACTTACAAATATATGTTAGTTACTTCCCTTGTGATATGAAATTTGTACGGTAGACTAATATCATTTAAAGTTTGTCGACGCCAAACTACATGACAACATTCTTTACAGACATCGGATCAAGGGACAGCCGGCACAATAAATGCATGTAGGAATGATGATAACTTCTCGTGTTGAATTGGACCATAACCTGAACATAACCTGGAATCTAAACAGCAATGCAGATAGTTGAAACTGAGCCCCATCAGCTGATTGATAAAACAATATTGAAAGGGATTTATCTTTTCTATAGTGTGTTGGTTGCCCAGACATTCAGACAAAAAGGGACTTGATGGAAAGGAATTGGAGAAAATATTGTGTTTGAAAATATAACTGATATTTTATTATCCACGTACAATAATCACAAATTGACAATACTATAAACATCAAGTACTAATACATGTAATATAATCACTTGTAAACAACTGATATATTGGACACTCTGTTAATAGTGAAAATTATGGTAATTACATATACATATAAAACAACTATATACTAACTAACATTAAAGGAATACTACGTCTTTGAATGAACATAAATTTCGATCTTGGCCAATAAGACCATGTATTCATCAACTGGCTTGCATGTCAACTGATGAATACGTTCTGTTATTGGCCAAGTTTGAGAATTATTTCGACTCTAAGTGAAGATATTGAAGGGATGACAATGTTAAATTTTTACGACCCTCCCCCAGACGACAAGCCATCAAGATCATCGGTCGTAGATTGGAACAAAGCTTCCAGGACAAAAATGGATTATGTATATCTAGGAATAGCCTTTAAGTCGATGTTTTGAAACTAATTGCAAATACTGTTAGCATGTGAAATATTGTTGAAAATTTGCATGATACACCAGAGCTTGTTGGTATTACTCTGTCGTTAGGTTTCTTCGTTGTGGTGGTTGTTTTGTTTTCGGGAGCGACGGTTGTCATTGGTTCTGGTTTGAAGCCATTCTCATCACTTAATAAACCAAGGTATATAGAAGCATTGGTTTTACTCCTGGCTTTATCATCAGTGTTAAAATTCACAGAAAAAAGTCCACTAGGGTCAGAATACCCTTCTCTGGTGTCAAAACTATCTATCAATGGGAAGTATGTATACCCTTTCACATCACATCCGTCAACTCTGATGGCTGAAAAAAATTAAGATCCAAAAAGTCAATTTAAATCGCCTAACATCATAATGCACAGTAGTTTCGAAGTGTGAAAACATTACATGTTAGACAATTATTGGAATAAAAATGGAATTGGAAGAGTGATAAATATACTTAAAATTAATGTCAAATTCCTATACCAGAGATAAATAGTTCTAGTGTCACAATCTACCAGCCTAAAGCTATTTGGATTAAGTAACATTTTGAGTAAATTTACAGATTCTGTAATTTAAACTAATATTCCAGTCTCATTTTAATAGCAAATTATTTTCTGGGCATGTGGAAGTTAGTTAGTTTGAGAATAGACAAAGCTGAACCATACGAACCTTTTAGTACTTCGTTGGCATACTGTTTAATATAAGAAGATCTTGTGATTTTATTGTGTTCAAGGGTTTTATCAGAGACACCATTACCAGCTATAAAGATGGGGAGCTTGCTACCATATCGCATCCTTAACTTCCGTAACATCATTCGAATTCCTTTAGGATATACCATTACACTGTCTTGGCTGTAAATAAGTAATCAATAAACGCCCTTTTCCCATACAGATTTTATGAGGTAAAAACTCTTGGTAGGTTGGAGGTACTAACGTGTAATAAGACAGAAATTCTTAGAAATGTCCATTTAGAATTGGATCTTCAGAAAATGATTGGAATTAGAATGGTTAATAATAATAACGTAACCGAATAATATTTAGCTCTTAGAACAACTCGATCTTTATACCAGAGTGATCAGAAACTTCTTTTGGTATCACTTTCCAATTTCGCCTTATACAAATATCAGCATAACGATATCATGTTCTTTTTCAAAGCTACTCAAGCATGGCATATTTAAACCTACCTGGAAGAATCTGTTGATCTGGAAACAACAACATCAGCATCATCAGAAAACAATCTTTTAGTAGATCTGGTTGTTTTATCAGCCACATAAAGGGTCGTATAGTGACTGACTGCCAGAAAATCCAGAGAACCTAGAAGGATGAAACACAGTCTTTAAATATTACATATTTTCAATTAGGCCTATTTATCATCATTGAACGATTGGTATTAGTTTGATTGCCGTCTACAAGGTGAAATTCTTGTAACCTTTAACCTTTATGCTTATTTCCTGTTCAACAGAATAACAAAGCTTCATGAAACCTAAACCCAGAAAAGTTTTGCACATATGACAGAAATGTTTCATTTACCAACTGATCATTATACACCAATACAACTGAAAACAAAATTGTATCAGCAGCTCAGTAGTGCTCAAAGCACAGGTACCCCGTTGGGTACCATTAACCTGCGTTGCGCTCTAGGACCATACGTCAAAGTACCTTTGTTTATTGCCTTTTCACTATCTGTAAAAGCTGGTAGCCTGGATGTAGTCCGGTTCTTCATCTCTTCGGGATAATCTCCTGTTTTGATGATAGGATCACCTACCCACCCATACTCAAACTCAAAAAACCTCCACAGAGCGTCATTATCAGCAGGATTTCTAAAATCCTTGGGTAAAAACCATTCTCTTCGTAGCTTTATTCCCACATGACCTATTAAAAAGTAACAAATTATTTAATATTTAGTCATGTACCCATTGTGTTCACCAGTTGATAGACCCCCACTGGAGCTACAAGTGGATCAACTACCACAGGGGCAGGTTCAGTGGCGGAGCCAAAGGGGGGGCAGAGGGGGCAGCCGCCCCCCCTCGCAGCCCCGAAAGCAAGTTTTTCGGGCAAAAATCTCACAACTATATTAGAAATTCGGGCAATCTCAGATATTTCGCCCCCCCCCCCTCCTCGGACATAAACCTGGCTCCGCCACTGTGCAGGTTGAACCAAGTCCATGGGCCCCATCCCCAGAAAAAAGTGAAGAAGAGCATATGTTTAAAAAAAAATATTCACAAGGAGGGGCCCCACTTAAGTCAACTGGCCTCCACTAATCTAATGAAAGGATATAGTGCTTAAAATAATATTTGTCGGTTCGTATGTTGGTTAAATAGTTAAATGTTTTTATAGACTGTTCTATGGGATGGCTGAGAATGGTGATGGTATTCTGGAGGTCAAAAAGCTGGTATCTCAGATAAAGCTTGCTTGAGACGATTCCTGTGTGGTGGTAACATGCACGGGATTTGACAATCGCGAGGCGGCATCCATATGCCACTTTCACATGCAAATCTTATTCTAAATATCTTTTGCCATCATGTTGTTTTAGCTCTAAATCATTGTTTGTGTAGAATTTTTACTTATAATGTATTGTTGTTTTAATATGTTTGCTTAATCATGATATTGAATGCACACATTTTAAGACCAACTGTGTGGTAAATAAAAGCCAAAACGTAAAGTATCCTCTGGGTCAATGAACGCCCAGATACAGGGTTTGGCATAAATCTAAGGTATCAAATCAGGGTGAATTCAAGACTAGATCAATGTTTGGAAAGCTTCAAATATTTGTATAACTAAATACTAAACATATATATATTGTACACAGAAACAGTATATTATAAACTATGTGTGTATATCAATAAACAAATATTTGAATCAGAATAAACAACTGGTGTATATGAGTTCATTCCATTAACAAACAGTTTTAATTGTGTCCTCGATTGTTTGTTTTTGGCTTTGTAATCTTTTTATACGTATTGTTGAAATCTAGAACGTTGCTAGTGAAACCATCACAACAGAACACTTGAAGCCATTTGGTGACTATTTCACCCTACATTATCTATTTACAATTGCAAATCGAAAATGAGTAGACTAAAGCCGCTGTCCTGGCGTCTCACTGTACACTGCATGACGTGACCCGTCTTCGAAGAATAGGGCATAAACTCCATTCATTTAATCGTGTTTAAAATTGCTGAAGATTGCATTCCTTTTAATACCAGATTAAGCACATTGCCGATTAGAAAAGAAATTGGACACCTGAATCATTATAAAATTTGGACGACATTCTGATGGTTTTGCGATGAAGGTTACACATGAATATATGATATTATGACCACTTACCTTTTTGTAAACGCCTGAATTCCTTGTGATACATATGATATACTCGAGCATGTGCTTTGATGATATTATGTACAGCTCTGTACATTTCAACGGTATTTTCCATTTTACCAGGTGGTAATTTACCAAGTTCATAGGCAAAGTATGCTGATCGTCCTGGTTCGTCGAAAGTCATCCAATGCTTGACCTATTTAAAAGGAAAACGTTCATCAAATGGTTATATCAGGGTAGTGTGTGTTTAATTACTAAGAACTGCACATCTTTCTGAAAACCGGAGATACTCCTCAACAACTGTGTACCTTCATCGTTTATACTGCAATATCAACAGTAGCAAGTCGTTGACAAGATCCATTCTCTTGCTAGAAAGTAAATCATGAGTAACTGATGGAATCTGTGATTTAATCCAGGGATTGTTTCAGATGCCACCAGCTGCTAGCAGTCCAGTTCCCAAATTCTGCAAGTAGTAAGGCCAATCTGGATTCACGGTTTGTAATTCTGCAAGAAAACTGTCACGATTTGCCAAGCATTTTAAAACTACATACCCGATAGCCAAACATTTTAAAGCAGACTCGAGCATACTCTTCAAATAAATCTATGGTAGAGGCATTCAACCACCCACCATACTGTGTTTCAATAACATCAGGTAGATCCCACGCAAATAAGGTTACCATTGGTTTGATATTGTGTTCATGTAATGACTTCAAGACTTTATTGTAATAATCTATTCCAGGTTGATTTATGTTGTCTTTTGATCCCATTGGCATAATACGTGACCATGATATTGAGAGGAAATAATGAGATGCCTGTAAAATAAAATACACTAGAACTATAGTCACACTATAGAGGTCTGTGCCAGACATGGACCAATTGTGAGCTCTTTATGGAACACCAATTTGAGAAAGATCAAATGCCTAAAACTTAGTTTGCAATGACGCATGAAGATCCTTGGACGCATTTTGGTTTGCGGATGACGTGTGCTCGTTAAGAAGGACTCACAGTTATTTCTTAGTATGTGATGCATCCAAAACACTTAACCCTTTTTTAACATTGTTTCAAGCAACAAATACCGTTCCATTTGAATGATTCGCACAAACCCCCATAAGACTTACACCAATTTCTTTCAATGCCATGATATCATCCATATAATTCCCATAACTATTAGCAGCCACATCACCATTTGCTTCTTTGGGTGTTTTGTGATAAAAAGTATCAAGTGTACTCGCTCCTTTTCCTAAGAAAATTTACAATATTCATGTTAGATATTCGTAGGATAAAAAAGATAGTAGCATCAAACCCTTCATGGAATCCCGGCATGAAATCAGTGCTTGAAAGTCGACCTGGTTTCTTTCTTAATTCTGTCCTACAAGCAAACAAGCAATGTTTTGCAGCATAGTGATCTTACAACGTTGTTTGAGTCAAATCAAATCAATAAACTGATTATGACATCTTCTTTCACACATCCAACAAGAGTTAGGGGAATTGCTGTTTCTTTCATGATCACCCAATCCGATCCTCTAAAAGCCTTAAGTTCCAGCTTTTTTCTTGCGAAAAGGACATTCTGTAAAGACGAAATTAGATCTTACCACCAGCTTCCCATCCACCTTCTACATTGTAAGCAGTTGTACCAGCGCCCCATGAAAACATCGAGGGAAAGTCTCCCGCATATAATTTGTTTTCATATGGTATATCATTTGGTCTTGCTGGATCTGTTTTAGATCCTTTGATAAATCCGTTATCCTGTATAATCTGATGAATTAGCTGAGCAGATCTCTTTGGAGTCCTTGGTCTGTTTGGGTCATCGAAGTTCACCGAGTATAATCCAAAATATTCCGTATAACCTTCAGCCCATTCAAAATTGTCCATAAGTGACCATGCAGTATATCCGATTACCTGAACGCCGTCTAGTTTTACAGCTGAAAAGGTAGATGAATCATCAACCATCGTATTCTGGTGGAAATACAAGAACATGTGGACGATATGGTTTTCATTGAAATTAACCAGGCGTTTTGCTGTTTGTTGAAATGAACTTATGGACAGGGTCGTTGTATGTGGAAAAGAGCTTATTAGCCGTGTATTTTGGGAATGAACTTATGGACGGCATGACATCTCTAGAAAAGGAATAAGCAATACCTTTGAGCACTTCATTTATATAATTAGTGAAGAAGTAAATCCTTGAAAAGTCATCCAGTGTTGAGTTGTTATCGGAGACACCATTTTCAGTAATTAATATATCTCTTACACCATAATTATTTCTCACCCAATTTAATATTCTTCTAATACCCCATGGTACCACATGTAGCCAACTGGATCCCGATCTATTTAGAGTTGAGATGAATAAGATCAGGGGAATTTCAATAATTATAGATTTAGATTGTCATATCCTCTTACATGAAACATAAGCATGAGAGAAACCTGGTCTTGTAAGTCTTTAAGAATCCGGAATCCGAATCGGAGCACTTTCATTTAACTTTCTTCATACGCATAAAATCCTACATAAGACCACTGTGTCCATGCTTGCTGTTCGTATTGTGGTTTTGTACCAGCAGTATGAGGCGGGCTTTGGTCATTAAATTATAGTAACTGACGAGGCAAGGAATGTAAAGTGTTACATTACACCGCTATAGACAGGAGTAGCGTATTTACTAGGGAGGAGGTGGGTGAAATCCTTGTTACGCCACGGGCTGGTTTGGCTATAGATAATAAAATAGATATCAACTAAATTTCATAGACTTACGGTTTCCAATCTGGATCTGCATAAATAATTGCACCTCTGTCGCCAAAATAATTGGGTTTTTGTTTAGCCGCTTCTATGGGATCTTCAGCCCGTGCAATACCAGAAGTGTATGAATTCATTCCAAAAAAATCAGATGTACCTGCAATTGAACATATGGAGATTCTCTTAAATGATCCAGTAAATTTGCAATACACATAATCACTTTAATGTGTTTACATGCATTTTGTCGTGAAATAATATGATTCAATTCAAAGGAGACCCGTCATGCTACTTCAGAAAATACCTCTTCTGATCTTTCTATCTAAATGTAAAATAAGTTAGTTCACATGATGATTTATTGAAATTATGATATACATACAAACTCAAGGTACACTTGAGGACGTAGCCTATCTACAAATATTATAGATATATGAAAGATGTGTCTTTTCAATGCACTTTAGAGTACGATCGTCTTCTTGGCATGGTAATTCTAAATCTTGTCTTCAACATTTCAAAATTAGTATAAGCAGTTTTTTTTTTCAACTTCATGGAAATGATGTTCACATACCATTGATTCTTTCTTTCTCTTCAGCAGTAAATTCAGGGAGGCGTGATTTAGGTAGATTCTGTCCTTTGCTATTTCTACTAACTATATCTTTCATTACTTGTGGATAGTCGCCATTGACGTATATCGGGTGAGCAAACCATCCTAAGAATGTCTGTACGCTGTTGTCAGCTGCTTCCACGTCCAACATATTGTATCTATCAACAGGTTCTGTCCAATCAATATTCAGAGTTATTCCGATTCTTCCTGTAAATATAAGATTTTTAATACACACATTAGCTCAGAGATTGTAGTGAGTCGGGTGTCTCAGTGCTGAAGTAACTAGTTCACTTGTTCTTGGCGTATTCCGGAAAAAATCAAGTTGATACTGTGGATTGTCAACAAAGCTTCATCCTACAAATGAAGCAAGTTGAAGGGGCTGACATAATACAATCGTCTGGATATTCGATGAGAATGAATCGAGCCAAAATAAGATACAGGGGACGTCAACACCATATCATGATGGTCTTATGATGGTTCCATATGGATTAAAGGCGGACATTGTTGCAATTTATACCGATTCTGTACTATCCCGACACGGATATGTTTTGTTTCAGTAAAGCGATCCAGGACATGGTCATACTAATGGAACACCTGATGCTACCCTGAGACAGTCATTCCTGTATTAATTTCTTCCGGAAAGTTAGTTTAAATTTCAATCGTGTCATGTTCTTATCTTGTCAAGACTCTACACAGACCGTTTTGGTGCTGGTGCACCTCAACGCATTTCATTTCATTTCGGATAGAGCACTTAGGTTGATATTTTGTCACTACAATCCTACCTGTGCCGTTATATACATCATGATACTGGTGATAAGCTTCAGCATGTGCTCGTATAGCATTATGTGCTGTTATATACGGATTTCTTCCCAGCTCTTTAAAACCAGGTGCATGATCTCCTGTACCATAACCAATTACTGTGAACACCCAGGGTTCATTGAGTGTTATCCACATGTCAACCTAGTAAGATTATAAATTATTAAACTATTGTTCGTCTGATCCTACCTGTTCCTTTATATACATCATGATACTGGTGATAAGCTTCAGCATGTGCTCGTATAGCAATATGTGCTGTTGTGTAAGGGTTTACTCCTAGCTCTTTTAAACCAGGAGCATGGAATCCCGTACCATAACCAAGTACTGTAAACACCCAGGGTTCATTGAGTGTTATCCACATGTCAACCTAGTAAGAATATAAAATATCATGGCACTTCATTATTATTATGTACATTATTGACTCTCTCTCTCGTAGTCTTTTAAGGATTATGCTCCGTTATTGGATTTTGGACATCACTTAAATATTTGCAATTGCTGTTTGTTTTAGACATTTTGGAAATCTATTAATGTTACCCCAAGATTGAGGTTGTATTCAATGAATTCCGTACATCTCTTGCTGAGAAAATACATGTTTACCTACCCGATCGCCAAACTTTTCAAAAAGGACAGCTGAATATTTTCTGAAGTGTTCAATGATGGAATCATTCAACCATCCACCATGATCTTGTAAAGCTTGAGGCAGATCCCAATGATATATAGTAACTACTGGCTTGATGCCGTTTTCTAATAACTCGTCAATAACGTTATTATAATATTCTATTCCCTTATCGTTAGTGGTTGCCGGAGTTCCATCACTCATTATGCGTGGCCATGAGATGGAAAATCTGTACGATTTAACCTGTAAATATATTATAACAATCGGAATTGTAAAGTAGATTGGTCTAGATAATGTTGCAGACAAATGACAACTTGATAGCATGATAACTTTTTGTCATCTTTTATTCCATGTTGTCCTTTTTTTGCAAAAAAGAACAATCATAAGGATTCTTTGCCTTGTTCTTTGACTAAACACCGAATACGAAATGTATTGTGCTCTATCATGCATTTTTGGTTAATTTCTACACCTCTAAATCTATTTAATACGCTGTATTCGAAGCAAAACTTTCCTTTCGTGACTCCTTTCTGTGATATTGATAGGTGTTTTATTGTTTTAGGTTGTTTCATTATTCTATCGTATTCTGGAGCTATATAGCCAGTTTGGTGCTGATACTCCTTAATGCATTTCATTTCATTTCATTTCATTTCATTTCATTTCATTTCGCAAAACTAAAATAAAGAAAATTACTCCAAGTTTTTTCAGCATTTGGACATCTTCTTTATATTTGTGGTAACTATCACAAGCAATATTCGCTGTAGCATTTTCCTTGCAATGACCAGCTTGTGAAAATGTATCCCAAATACCGACTCCTTTACCTACAAAATACATTTACCAAATCAGCATCTGATGGTGTTAGATTAGAGTATGAATGATCACATTTGATAAAACTATTATCAACAATGACTGCAACATGCTAAGAATGTGGTCTTTGATTACTAAGAGGAGCTGTAAATGGTAAACAAAAACGAATTCCACTGTAAATACTGCCGTAATAAGGATTTGTATGTAAACCATAATCAAACCACTAGGTTCTATTTGTGATAAGGTTTGTACACTTACACAGGATAAAGCGATAAAAATACATATATCACAAATGTAATCTAATGTTTTATGCAAACAAATATCTGGCCTGCTTTCAATAAATGTTTTCCGTTAAACAAATTGTGTAACATCAATATGAAATAATATGCACGACAGATTACTTTGTTTAAAACAGTTCGGTTGTCTGCTTTTTTCAAAAACGGTCTCGTAAAAGGTCCCCCCACCCGAGATTGTGATAAAAAAAGTTTTATTTTCATGAAATTGTTTGAACTAAAAGGTTTTACATACCATCTTCATTCCACGCCCCCTCTATCTGTGCTGAAGATGTTGCACTACTGAACACAAAATCATCGGGAAATTTATCATAATAAAACTGGTCAATGTACTGTGGAGCGACACCCCAACCACCTTTCTGAGTAAAACCTTTGTTGAAGGCATTCTCTTTTGTCAAGATAGAGTACCAATGAGCCGATGCTCTGGCAGTGCGTTTTCTGTCCGTATCATTAAAATCAACGCTATATAAACCATATTTTGTTCTGTATCCAAATTCCCATTCAAAACCATCTAACAAAGATTTTACCACGTATCCTTTAACATCACATCCATCTAGCTTTATAGCTGTAAAATAAATTAAATAGAGGAAAGAAAGTCCAATTATATGATTTTATCCAATGGCGTATGTTCCAAATTCAGTATGTAAAGACAGTTGCGAGATTCAACATTTCATTAAGCAGATTATTACTCATTTTGGTGGAAGGGGGGGGGGGGTCTTGTTTTAATAATCGAAATAGTGTTAAAACTGCAATTGTGATAAATCATTAGCTACATAATTCGATGCAATATGCCGAGTACTAGGTTTTTGTTTTAACTTCTTATTTCATGTGTAATATTGAGCAGCTTTGGCGTATGTGGCACCAAACAGAGAATGCTTACTTTTATAGGCACCTGGTACCACTTTTAATTGTGAAATACTTTCCCATGGATTGATATACTTTCTCAAAGGAATAATTTATTTGCTGCTACCAATGTATTGCCAAACTGTTATTAAAATTTTGGATTTCGTTCTGCGGTTCGGTTAGTTTGCGAGTACTTGTTTTGTTTTTTATTGAACCATTACCTTTAAGAACATTATTGGTATACAATCTATGATAATGTATTCTATGTTCATCAACAAGACTACCATTGTTATCATAATAACCACTTTCTGTGATATAAACTGGTGTATTGTTATAATTATACTTGACCCAATTCAACATCTTTCTTAGACTGAGTGGTGTTGTTCTGTATGCCATGTTACCTTCACTGGAATTTCTTGCTCTAATAGAAAAAAGCAGAAACACCAATAATTGAATCATAAGGTACATGGGTCCTGGTGCTGAGTAGACATTGCAGTTCCGTAAGAAACCAGACCAAATATCAGCCAGGGTTGGTAAGTCTCAAGCATAAAAAACATGGTGGCCGTTCTAGAATTGGAAGAAATAATTCGTGTGGTTTAAAGTCCTGTTGTTTTACAACTTCTCAGTCAAACAATATTTCTAAGGTGACAATGGCAACTGTCCTTCTCTTTCAGACTTGCATTTGTTTTAGCGAGGTTTAGACTGATCTAGGTGTGCGGTCTTGTAATGTTTGCCTCTCTCTATAATTCTGTGAATCCCCCTTCCACCTAATGGTCCCAAGAAACGGCATAATATTATGTCAACAAATCATACCCGAGGGAAGACAGATCATATGACAACTCAACATCTTGATCTTGTTTAACATTCGGCGGTAAAGTCTTGTCGTATTGGTGATGTTTACCATACATTGTGGTGAAAAAACTCATTCCCAGGAAATCGGAGCTACCTATAATGGTCGTACATTCATACAATATCTCAACTTTGCAATTCTTTCAAGACAATGTCCAAATCAGTTTGACCTTATTTTATTGTAATCCTTCAACACTGTGTGACTAATCAGGATCCTTGATCGATTGCATTACATCTTCCCCTTCCTTATCTAATTCTTACTATTTCGTAATTTTCTCCTAGATTTTCCCTGCAATCTTTTTCATGTGGAAGAAAATATCCTGGCTGAACTAAATGACCATTATTGCCCAAAGTTTTTTTCTTATGCAAGACTACAAAGCGCCTCATAACCCCTATAAAAATTTCAAAAATCAAAAGTCTGTTTTCTTATCCTGAAGTAAAAAAAATGGGAAAATACCTCTGATAAGATTCTGCTCATCTTGACTCAAAGGTATCAAGCGACTTGCTGTTAATCCTTGATCTCGACTTTTGGTATTTAGTTGACGTATAAGAACTTCTGGGTAGTTTCCTGATCCATATATAGGTTCTAGAAACATCCCAATGAAACTCTGCATCCATCTGTCAGCTGCATCAACATCTTCTTGGCTCTTTGTTTTCGGTTCTATCCAAAGGAAGTTAGGTGCAATTCCAACTGTGCCTGGAAATGAAAATGTTCATGAACGAAATAAAAGATGTCCATATACTGGAATTAAAGGAATATCTTTCAGAACATTGCAAATTGATTCACACTATTTCACTCGAATTCGAACTGTTTCTCAGAAAATATTGGTTGGATCTCCCCTAAATTTAATAAAGTTGGCACACACTCTTTAAAATAGAATTTAAAATAGCTAACTCACCATTTTGTTGTGATTTGTATGTATTTTGATACAGTTTGTGTACGTGGGCATGAGCTAGTAAAACATTTTTAGCAACAATGTACACTGAATTACCCAAGTCCTTCTTGTGTGGAGCCTGAACACCATCACCATAACCATGATAAATAAACCCCTGTGGACTGTTGAATGTCAACCACATTTTAACCTGCAAAAGGTTTCAAGTGATAAATTGATCAGTCGGAAAGAAATCTCCAATTTGCTTATATGACCAAACTCAATCTGAATCAATTTTATGACTTACCCAATACAATACTAGTTGAGCATGCTTAACTTGTATTTGTTGCCGACCTAAGCGATTGTAAACTGCGATGGATTCGGTTACCAATCATAAATCAACCGAATTCTACCTCTCAGTGACTTTATTATCTTATGGTCATGATGTTCATATATGGTCACAAATATAATTTTGCATGGTACAACATAGCACATCTTTGAAAATTTCAATAAAGAAGGTACCTTGCTGCCCAATTCCTCAAAACATTTATCGGCATATATTTTATAATATTCTATAGTAGAGGAATTCAACCAACCACCTTGATCCTCCAATACTTGTGGCATATCTCTATAATATAACGTCACCATTGGTTCGATATTGTTCTTCTTCAATTCATCCACCAAATTCTTATAATAAGTCATACCCTTGACATTATATGACGCCAATTCGCCTTTAGGTAATATTCGACTCCATGAAATTGAAAAACTGTACGTGCTGACCTGATAAACAACAAAACGAGGTAATAATGTAACCAACTTTTCATTCAATGAGCATTGGCTCACTTAATGGTTAAGAATTTCTCAATCACGTGAAATTTTAATTGACAGCTGGCGTTAAATTCTAATTAACATATTGACCACACACCGAAATTGTTACTTAATACGTTCTAACTAACGCGCACTTCTCCATTTTCCAGTCAACATTTACCCGGATAATGCCGTAGGTTAACAGTTAATTGTTAACAAAGTCACATAGATTCTATTCTTACGGTTCCTCATTGTGCGAAGTTCAATTTTTTAATTTGCAACCTGGTCGGTAGCCAGACAGTGATTGTTCGGAGTGGCAATGTATGGTGTTTAGTTGCAGTAATGTAATCAGAAATATTTCAGGGGGTAATCTATTTTTTTTCTGTAGCTACGGACCTGTTTGCCACTGAAGCATCAGCGTTATGAAAACTATACGTACACCAAGTTTCTTGATGAGTTGAACATCTTCTTTATAATGTTGATACTGATCAGCACTGATATCACCATTCTCAGTATAATCAGGTGAGTGAGTTGCTGTATCCCATATACTCGGCCCTTTACCTACGATATTATAATTTCGGCATTATATGCTTGAGACAAAAACGTCAAATGTAGCGAAGAAATACATTTATAAAACTTGCATAACTCTGCAATTAACAGAAGGATACTACTGAGACCACCTATTCTATTTTCTCCATGAAGTTTTTGTTCCAGCCTGGGCTTGGACATTTGGGACAATCAAACCTTCCCTAAATCAAAAACTGTATACGGCGAAATTTTCTAGTTCGATTGAATTATGTCCAGATAGTAGAGGAGTCACACAATTCTGGTAGTTCTCTCATGCCAGAATACATTACGAAATCTTCAATTCATTACTGAGGTAAATTCAGCTTCACGGAAATTGTCGAGAATTGCCGAATGCTCAAAATACTCAACATCACAATCTACACTTCTCTGTGGTATTTAATTATATTTCTATACGATTAGTTATATTTATATACTTCTTATATCATAATTCAATTAATAACATATTTTTCGAGTATTTGTCTGTAAGTGTCGTTATACAAAATGCATTATCATAAAGAGCCTAAAGGGCGCCGTGAATATTATCTTATTATCAAGCATGCAAAATGAAATGAAAGTCAGTTCGTCCTGCCTTCACAAAGAATATGATTAAAGCAGATATTCGAATCTGATCATGATAAAAACAAAAAGTTCATAAAAACAACGTAATAGTCATTTTTGCTTTTCATTCAGATCGGAGGGGCTTGGTCGCTCCAATTGGAAATAAACCGAGATCCCATGTGTTATAAACTATGATCAGCTAAGATTTGAAAAGAGAAATAAGCTAAAATGTTTTGAAGATAGTAAGTAGGATGTCAACTGTATTTCATGTTATTGTCTTGCAAAGCTTTTAAAATCCAGACATGAAATTTTCAAGAGCTTGAGAACTTACCGTCTGTATTCCATGCCCCTTCTACTGCATAAGCCGCAGTTCCAACTCCCCAGTCAAAATCGTCAGGAAATTTATCGAAGTAAATATCCAGTGGATCTTCATAAGGAACTTGTCCAGTAGATAATCCAGCTTTTCCTGGATATCCCATTTTGAATCCATTATCCTCCACTAACTGTTTAAACAACCTAGCTGAGGATCTAGGAGATCGTTTTCTGTCAGAATCTTGGAAGTCGACTTGATACAGACCAGTTTTTGTGCTGTATCCATCCTTCCCTTCGAAACCATCTATCAAAGCTTTGTATATAAATCCTTTCACATTGCAATCATCTTTTATAACAGCTGCAACACAGAGAATTTTGAAAAATATTGAGAATTAAACCTTCATATAATGAGCTGTTGTACGCCTATTTATTCTAAGGTTTGTTCAACAGTTTACTTGCGGTTCGTGAAGTGAGTTTTAATGCCAACCCAGTTTACCTTTTAATACAGAATTAAGATGGTCTTTGACATATTCTTGTCTGTTTCTATCATCAAATGTTTTATTTTTATCACTGTACCCATCTTCTGTTATATACACCTTTGTATTGTTATAACGTCTTTTTATCCACTTTAATAACCTTCGTAAACCATTTCTAATACATAAAAAGAGAAAATAGGACGTAGAACTTTGTCTTACTTCGTAAAACTTGAGCTTGTTTTGAAATATAACTCCTTGTGTGAATAAAGCAAACCAGCTCCGAAACAATAGTTATTGTTATATTCATTGCTACAATCAGGAGGACTAAATGGAACAAAACAAAGAAACAACCATTTGGCAGAAGGATAACAGTTAAGGTTTCGTGTGAATCCTCTCTTCCCAATGGATCCCCACTTACAGCAGGGTCTACTCGAGATTAGGAAAGATGACAAATGCATGGTCAACAGACTTTCACACACTGACAGAGATTAGAACCCACGACCACAATTTACTCGACGCAACCAAGCTAAATGGCAATGCTCTACCCGAGTGTGATACAGCCCGTCAATCACTGTTATAATACAATATTTACCCATCCATTGATGATTCACCAGTCTTAACACTATTACTATCACATTTTACGTGGGGAGGATTGCAGTTGAGTATTTTATGTGTTTCTACTAGAGTAGAGTAATAGTTGACACCAATAAAATCCAGTGAACCTACAAAACAATTTGTAAAGCTTCATGTATGCTATTACATTATGCAAACTGTCTGTTCATGGAGTTAAGCAACCCACGAGGACAAGTATGCCAGTGGGTTATACTACCCTTCCCCGCAGATTTCTGGGATAATCAGGCTTTTCCTTTCCCACTTTGAAATCCTCTTTATCATTGGACATTTCCCAACCCTCCTGGCAAATATCATGATTCATTGAAACGCCACTCCGTTAAATCCAGCTCACCGGGCCAATTATAACATAAGGAACCCCATTGATTAACTCCCTTATTGGGTATGCAACTATATCACCCATAATTTATTATAGGATCTAGTCCAGTGAAAGCTAACATTAAGAGTTCGACGACATATGCTCTTACCTTTATTGCGAACTAATTCAGCATCGGTAAAAAGCGGAAGTCTGGAGGTACCGGTTGACTTCCCACTAATCAATTGTTTAACTACATCCGGGTAGTCACCAGATCCACTTAATAATGGATCGAGGTAAGCACCAATCATGAATTGAAGTGATCGTTCTTGGCTGTTTTTATCCACTTCAAGTTCTGGATATTTTGGTTGAATCCAATGGCTCGTAACCGAAATGCCAATCTCACCTGTAATCAAATGTGATACTTCTGCATGATGAATGTCTACAATTGCATCACCTGTTGCTTGTGCAGCAATTTGCTTTACTTTGTTTTAGCAAAAAGTCCAAGTCGGTAACATCAATTCGTCATTGTGAAGAGAGATCTTTAACTTGTAATGTTTATTTGACTAGAACTCATCTGATGCCGCAACACATGTTTCTGATACATTCTCGTGAGTACAAGGGTTAGTCTTGGTGGTTGTCTTTTTCAAATGTGCGAGTGAGTACAGCAACCAAACTCCTACACGAAAAAAGAAATTATTTATTTTCCGGCATTAATGAAAGATTAAACTTGTTCAGTTTGCATTTTGAATGAGAAAAATACCTGTTTGGTTAGAGAATAGTCTCCTATATAAATCATATACTTGAGCATGCGCCTTGATCATATTGTGAACTACAGTGTAGGGATTCGATCCCGGTCCGTAAACTCCGGGTGGTGTTGAACCATATCCATAACCAAATACTGCTGTTTGCAAAGGCTCATTAATGGTAATCCAACTTTTAACCTGAAATAAAAAAAAAAACAAGTAATAACATTCCACACCGCAATACGATGCTCGAAATCCAAAATAACAGTTTGACAAAACATTGGCAGCAAATTAACTTTTATTATGAGGGAAAATATCAAGAATAAGTGAGGAAGTATTTAATGTATTTCAGTACAATCGAATAAATACCAGTAAATACGCAAAATAAAACCATTTTTGTTTCACTATAGTTTCGCTCAGTTATTTGCATTTTGTCCAGGACGATCAATGGTGTAACATGGACTCGATGAGTTGCTCCAAATATTTGCAATACTTACGTCGTTCCCAAAGTTGGAAAAACAGATCTGTGCATACGTAATAAATGCATTGATAGTTTGTAAATTCAGCCATCCACCATGTTTCTCTAATTCTAAAGGTAAATCATTATCATATAAAACTACCATAGGCTCTATGTTGTTGGATTTTAATTCTTGTATAAGATTTTTATAATAATCTAATCCCTGCTGATTAACTGAACCGGATCCAGTAGGCAGCACTCTCGACCATGATATTGAAAACTTGTATATTCTGACCTGTAATAGAAATGCATACAAATGTTTCCGAATAATAACACTCACGAATGTGCATTATGGATGATGCTGCTATAATGAGCTATAAAATAATTTAAAAAAAAATACTGTTGAGAGTATGACATGTCAACTAGGGGTAATAATTAGAATACAATTGGTATACAAAACTAATCACTATTGAACGTATTCATTGGATCTTTTCACTAGAAAATTGCATTGTGACCCACGGCATCGAATGCCTAAGGACTGACAAATAAGCACTCACAAGGGAATGTTTGGCCGGCGTTTCTTTTATTGTTGGAATTCCTTAGAGATAAAATGTAATGATGTTATGACTTTATACCAGGTAAGACTTTATAAATAATCTTGGAAAGGAATGAAAAGGGATATCGTGTGTTGTGAACAATCCGATGTATCCTAATATAGATAAATATATATGAATAAAACGTAAAAAATACCCCCAAATTTTTGATGAGGCGAACATCTTCATCATATTTATTATAACTATCAGCAGCTACATCAGGCGTTTGATCTTTATAAATATTACCAGGTTTCTGAGCGTATACATCCCAAATACTTAGACCTTTACCTGTAAAAACAGAATATCTTATTGGTAGTTAATACCATATCAATGCCCGTATAAATATAGGAAAACTATATGAAATTGAGTTATAATTGTTTGAGATGATAGGTACACCCAAACACTAGTCTAGGCCCTATTTAATCGCGTGTTTACATGTCAAAAATATTGATTCATGATCTAGTACCTACAACAATAAAGTATTTTAATATAAATCTATCTGCAATTATATGATGAACTGATAAAAGATCACACCTTTACCAAGAGGCCTAGGGCATCGAGAATCCCATCAACAGTTTCAAGTTTAAATGGTAGATGACACTTGATGCAAAATATAAATTTTCTATTGATTCTTTCATGTGTGAAAATTATGTTTCATGTTGCTTTTTTGACAAAATATAATTTTTATCCGAAGTCCTGTATTGGATTCACGAACAATCTTTTAAAAGTCATCTATATGATATGATAAAAATATAAAAACCCTAGTTGCTGACCCGTTGAAATAATCTACATGTTTGAAAATACATTTTTGCTCTTTGTACTTCGTTTGTTGAATTTGAAACGAGCCCCGGATTTAAATCTTTCCACAGTTCGTTGGTTGCAGCCACATTTTTATAGGCGAGGAAAGTAAAAAAAAAACAAGAAATGCATCAACAGTAAAAAAAAATAATAGTTTGTCCACATTTCGATGATTTCATTGAAATATAAACAAAAGAAATTTTTAAGTAACAAAAATAATATCCACACCTTCATCAATAACCCCGCCTTCTACTTTATAAGCAGATGATCCAACACCCCATTTAAATCCTGCTGGAAATTTGTCAAATAAAAAAGCATCGTCGTCTTCACAAGCACTAAATGTTAGGAAACTGAATAAAAGTATATATTTAATCCACATATTATGTGATGTTCACTGCACGACAGTCTGTGATGCATATGAATTAAAGTTGTGTGTCGATATTCAATGGCATATTCCTTTGTGCTGTATATGAACTGAGCTGTCATTGTACTATTTATAAAGTTGTAATGTAAACCAATACCTTGAGGTAAAAAACGAATCTGTTTGTGTATTTAATATGTATAGAAATCCCTAATCTTCTTTGAGTTTTGAATAAGGTGAGTATTTGACATACATGCAGGGAAATATTTGATGATTCATGTCTTAACGATGATTTAAACAGGAAATTGTGCTCTTTCTAAGGTACAATGCAGTATTTTACATCATCGGGTTTTATTGTTACTTTTACATGTATTAAACATCCATTAGTCTACTTTAATCCATTGGCCGAGATAATACACGATCAAAAATTGTCACGTCTGCGTATGACTACAGATACGATACGGAAAGCTACGGACCAATACATACAGCCACGAACGATGTCGGATCATACCCATAGTAATTCCGTGAAAACTATGAAAGTTTATGAAGCGCAAACCCAATGAGGGTAGCAAAATAATGCACTCTGAAAGCCTATCTTATGAGCTTAATTGCAATATGATATAATAATAATATTGTAATAGTTGTATGGGAAGTCATACAAGCGTTTCATATTCAACGATTTGACCAAAAATGTCATACAACGAAAAGCTATTTGCATAGTGTGACAAAAGCAGTTAGTTGTGTGTTTTCAATACCATAGACAGTTGATCTGGTTGTATCTTTGCTTCACTCCATAGGGTTTATTTTATATATTTGAGAAGCTAGAAGAAGGGCATTCCAATGCAAGGACAGGTCAAGGACATTTCCCCTCAGTCTCTAACAGATATCTGCGGTATATGTTATCATCAACATCATAGTCCATTAGAAATTTGCCAGATATCAAGGTGCATACATCAGGAGCCAAATAATTCCAAGAATTCCACCAAAAGACACTCCACAGACTGATATGGTGAACGGAACTTGAGCCACGACCCACGAAGTTCTTGTTTACCTATTAGTATATAGTATATGTATTTGTTTGTATGACAAATTAATGTATACAATAACCATGTTTGTAAATCGGGAATCTATTACACAGACTTACATAAATCACCAAGGTCATTTTTGAAATCAATATTCTGAGTATGTTTCGTAACGTTTTGAATTGTCCTTGAGTACCTTTTACTTCAAGCGTATTTCAGAAAGAAAATAAGAGAACCATAAGTGGTTAGACTGTTTAACACAATCAACTCTTAGAATACTGTTTTGGATTCTGACCACATAAACATCACTCAGTACTCAGTATGTTTGAAGTCTATAACTCATGTTCAAATAAATTCTTAAAATGTGCTACTGCCTTACCAAGTTCTTAATTACTGGTATAATGTTAATGCCCATGGATATGTTAGTAGCTAACATGTATCCTGGTTTATCACAAGTTATGCTATGTCCCATATTTAAAATAGAGTATAATTCTCACATATAGTAGATAAAAGATTTTTTTATGACACAGGTCATTTTATTGACAGAGCATTTTGAATTATAGTATAGCTGTTCTTATGATGGTTGTTAATCCGAAACACGTGTCGGCAGACAAGTAAAATGAAAAATTAAACACAGTCGTATCAACCTATTATTACAACGTCATACGCTTTTACCACATCTAGAAATAGTCTTATGACCAATAATCACATCAACAAAGTGTATTATCTATTGGCCCATTAGTGCATAATGGGGCAATATTTATCTTACAATGAGTTCCATTAAGTTAGTAAATAGTAACATAATAAAAATAAAGATCTAATAAATTTTGAATACACTGATGGTGATAAAATCGTGATTAACAAATCGTTTCCATCATTTGAAATACTGTTACTAAACAACTTTTACTTACGTGTACATTATGGAATATATATTTCTTACATACACTGTTCGCTATAGCTATCATAATATGATATAACATTTGTGATTTTTATCCGGATGTATGAAGGAGTCAGATTCCGTGATGACAACGTTTACCAAAGTCCAAGTGTTCCACGATGAGGAATCAGATACACTGTCTATGTTTCGACCGCTGATAAAATTTGGTATTTGGAATGGATTGATCGGTTTGAACGTCGATTCACAATCGCACAGTACTGCAGTTAAAGTATTACATTGGATATACATGGTTGTCGTACAGCTCTTATTACTGCTCACTGTATTGAGATATTGCTTTGTGCTGTTCGTCGGGTCGGAAAATGGTCGCTTTCTGGACGTTTTATCTGCTCAGGCATTTTTTCTGAGTTTAAGTTTTACGTCATTGATGACAAGTTATACTTTAACCAAATGTTTTAAAAGGTTTTGCAAGTTGCTGGATAAACATATTCAAAAGTATGGAAAGTTGCAAAAAGGGGATCGAATCCACAAATTTAATATATATGTTGGACCTATTGGCATACCTATAGTCATTTCAATATGTGTGACATTTTTTTGTTTGTGTTTCTTTTTAAGAGATTCTTTGACATTATATCTACAGCCATTTGATATAGAAATACAATGGCAGAATGCACTTGTTATGACGCATTTGATTTTGGATATAAACTTCCACATTTTCCATTCAGCTATTATCTTCCTCTTGTTTATGGTGATTTGGTTTCTGTTTGTCACAGAATTTGATCATATCGACTGTCAGCTGAAAGATATTCTGTTAGAAAGAGAAGTGTTGAAAAGTGAGAGCCGCATTGAGAAATTAAGACAAGAATTTATAAGTCTTGTGGACTGTTTCGGTTTATTTAACTCCCTGTTTAAACACTGTATATTCGGAACACTCTCTGTGTTTTTACCATGTGTTTGTTTCTGGTTGTATGGTGTTATACGAACTGAACAAGAAACAGAAGAATTTGCAATTTTAACACTCCTCATGCTTCTGAATTTCAGCGGAGTCTTTATTATTGTTTTCCTTGGAGCTGTTTTGAATTCGAAGGTTTGAGCGAGAAGCCACCCTGACACATGCATAAAGTTTCATACTATGTCATGCGTAAAAACTGTGCAAACTCGGCACAAACACTACCGACAGCGCGTGTTAAAAGCGTGAACACTGCGCATACAATACAAAACCTATGAACAGTAAACAAGTATTGCAAAATGTATTAAAGTATTAAAAATATGCTAAACGTGCGTGACTTAAGACCATACAGTGCGAACATGCTTTATGTCATTGGGGGCACAAAATTTGTGCTAGTGTCAGGGTGGCTTGAGTTTACTTTTCTTAAGCTTAATAACATTTATATATAAATCTGATGTAAGATAATAAGATATATTTTCAGACATTAGACTAAGACAATATTTAGACAGGGTTTCGTAGAATCTTACACTAATCCAAGAATTCATGGATATCAGGTGGAGAATATTACAATGCTGTTTTGAGTCATATTATTTTCATGCGCGTATGGAACAAGCAACTTGAAAAGGATCGCTGCAAGAAAGCACAGCAGAAAAGTAGGACGTAAAACTCCATTCATTTCATTTCATTTTGCAAGAAAGCATAGCTAATGTCCCGCCATTCCATTCCCGTTTCCTGCACTCCGCCTATGGATCTTTAAATTGAGAAGGGAATATCGTATTGTCGATGTATTTGATGTTAACATATATTCATTGTTAATTCATTTCAGGCTCATCAACCAATTTCCATTCTAAATAAAGTTGATATATTGCTTGTAACTGAAAAAACTTCTCGTTCAGTGAGTAATATATTCAAATCATTGCATTAAATGTATGGATAGCTTTGGGGAAATACTTTTGACTGATTTTTTTTCCTGTTGAATTACATTGAAAAAATACACTAAAAGATGGAATGGTGTATGAACGCCACCTTTCCATCAATAATAAAGAAGCGTAGTGTCATGCAGTATGCAAGGGTTACAAAAAGTAGGCATTAACCTTTCCGATATCCATCAGTGAGGAGTGACAAAAAAAAAGATGGGTTTTAAATCACCCCACCCGCTTATATTGCGCTGAATTAGTATTGTTTATTTTAAGGGCCGCAGATTTCTGAGGCCTACTACTAAACAAAACATTTTTTTTTAGAATTTTTGGTGTCGTCAGTATTATGGAATCACAGATTTTCTAAAAATGAAACGAAACCAAATCAATAGCCTATTACTTTTCTTGCTTTAAGGTATTTTTCTTATGATTCAAAGCATGATCCAAACAACATTGATCCAATTTCAACACAAAACATTAAACGGGACACTCAATCGATGTGTGATCTTTAAAATAAACAAATTTTTATTAGCGGTAGGGAGGTAGAGCGGTTGGGATTTGAAACTCGTCCACAAAAAGAATACAAAATGACATATGTTGCATTTAAGTATGTGAATTGGACTCTTTATCGTTATAAGATGTTTCCTACATGTATTCATTCCAGGTGGCGATGTTTTTGTCAAGGTTACTTGGACCTCCAATTGGTTTCACTAATTATGGCCTTTTCACCATAGATCCTCCTGCAATATTGTATGTGAGTAATTCATTCCTAGTTATATCTCGCATTAAGAGAATGAAAGGCCAAAAGAACGGTAGTAATGTCGTTTGGTCAACCACTGAAACATTTTAAGGATTTTGTGGAGAGTTCTCGAATACTGGAAAGGTAGATGATGTAACTACTGGTAAAACTAGATCACAATCACATATTATGAGGAATAACGGAGACAACTTTTACAAAAAATACATTTGACATATTTCAGATATTTGGAACTCTGGTTACCTATGCTGTGGTAATGTTACAATTTGCTGATACAGCTCCATCCACAATTGCCAATAATAACTGCCCGATAAATTCTAGTATTCTCAATAGAACTATGATTCCATAAACTTAGAACCTATTTTCTTTCGGATATACAAGGCATTCATAATATACACCCAAGAACATGGCGATTTGAACATGTTCCACAGTACTATCTTTAGGCTACAACAAATATTAATTACTATGAAACATTTGAGTTTTGTGTCCATATCTATGTTAGTTTATACTGTTCAGTGCTCTAATTCGATACACCCTGTACAACCCGTGTTATTATTGTTGACAGTTTGGTCTGGACGAGACCTAGTCCTCAATCCCCCGAATTGTTGGCACATATATGACACGAGATTAATCCTTGAATACTGTATACTTTTAAAGCAATTGATACTTTTCACAATGTCTCAATTAAAGCCCTTGATACCCGTTCGGATTTTATCACCCAGCTTTCTTCTGTCAGATTGGGCTATATATATGTGTTATTGATTCCGAACAAAACCCCCTCCTCATGGTTAAAAATCCAAAATCAAGTAAACAAATGAATAACCTTGAATATATTACTCCAGTTTATCTAATTCTAATGTATATTGTAATTTATGGATTTCTCTGTTTGTTTGTTATAAAAATTTGTTAATCGCTTTAATATACTTTCTATCGATGTTTATAATGCTTTGTTGAAAGTGAAATACAACTTGTTTGTTCGTTATATGAGTCTTTGATATTATAAGATTTTAATGTTGCCGTCCATCAACTGATAAGGAAGATAGTGTAGAAATTTAAATATTGACATAAACTAATAAAACGCAACACGAAACAATAAATGCGTAAAAATATCAACGACAAATTATTTGAAAAAAATCTATGGGCAAAATATAAGCGGGTGGAAAAATATTTCCATTCCAAATCTAACCAACTCAATGACTACCATTCGATTACCAATCAGCAAGAATTACCATGATCAAGAGTTTGGGACGCGACACTTTAGCCATAGTTTTACTCCATGTCAATCTTCCCGGCCGGATCTAACGAATTGTCAACTACCGAACCAATAGTGCCAAATCAAGCAATAAATAGATCCAGATCCATCAACCAACTACTATAACCACCAAGAACTACCTAAACCGCGACATCAGCCAACCGACCAACCTACCTATTTCTATACCAGAAGGATGTTCTGCAACACCACCAAGAATTTTACCAACAGTTTACCTTTAATCGCATTTTTTTTTGGTTTCAATCAACTTGATATGGTCTGTATGTATATATATATATATATATTTATTTAATATAATTGTGCAATGTTTATTCAGTGTAATTATGTCGTAAGATCGTCTTGCACTGTCCATTATTTAACAAAGGGGGTGGGGGGGGGGGAGCTCAGTTATTGGCATATGCATTTATTATCACGCTCATCAGTGGCGCATCTATGATAATAAGGCACCCCCAAACTCCCCTTCACTGTTATCGACTATGAAATTTAAAAACTTATATGTATAATCGAATTTTATTTCAACTAAAGGTCTTACGGTACAGTTTTCTGTGCACCAGTAGGTCTATAATAAGCTGTTACAGGATAATTGTTGTCAGATCCGCATTTTCGCCAGTAGAAACCTGCTCTTGCGAAACATTCATTGGCATCATCATCTGTTTAAAAATAAAAATTAAATAACGAATAAGAAGAAGCTTTTCTTTAATATTGCTCTCTTAAGACAGTAACCTCGAATTCTCTAAATCAAATAAGATTACCTGATCCCATATTAGTAGCACCCCAAGCATCATAGAAATAGTATTTAATTTTAGAGTCAGCAGGACATTTAGTTACTTTGATCCAACAACCGGCACCACCAGTTCTTACAGCTCCTGTGAAAACAAAATCAAATTTTCAAAACTTTCAGCATTTTGTCCATTCAAAAGACAATAATGAAATTGATCTTAATATCGATCAAAATAGCGTGTATGAGGCCTTGAAGAAATACAAAATTCTGGGATTTCATATTGCGTAGGCAACATGTTTCAGTTTCTGATTTAATATTTATAACTTTTTTTAATATTAGATAACACGAAAACAAATTTGAAAACACTTCCAGTAAGGAAAAAGAGTATTTAGATTTTAGTGGTTTCTGTGCATTATACGTACCTGTTGGTCTAAAAATACTTGTGTAAGGCTTATCTCTGTCTTTACCACACCAAGCCCATTGACCAGCAGCTCGTTTCAAACAAGCTTCTTCATTAGTGTCGCCGCCGTCATGTTGTTCAGCGTAGGTATCTCTCATGAACCCCACACGGTTATCATTATGTTTTGGACAACCGTATGCCGCAAAAAAGCAACCATCACCTCCTATTGTCATTGCTCCTACGATAATAAAACGGTGTATGAAATAGAAAGATGGCTCCAAAGGTTCTTATGTCCATCAGTAGGGACCGAAAAGTCTCCAATGGAGCAAATAATCCTGCCCATTTGCACAAGTCATCACAAAGGAATTATAGGTTTTGGTTTTCTGTTGTTACAATCGGATGCTTTCGTATGTCACACATTATGTTACAGTTGCTTAAGCATTATAAACTGTATTTAGACCTCGTGTATATAAAGTGAACTTAAAACTCTGCATATGTTTCACATCTCAGACTTTTTAATTTCCCAACAGATTCTTGGATATCACCTGAAATTGTGTACCTGTTGGACCATAGACAGCTGTGATAGGTTTATTTTTTGCGGATCCACAATATCTCCATTCTTTGGCAGCTCTGGCTAAACAGTTTGCTTCAATGTTGCCAGCTTGTTCATGCTGTTCCCCATATGTATCTCGGAAAGTTCCTTTAACATTGTTAGGATGAGCTGGGCAGTCATTGATTAATAGCCAACATCCTGTAAAATCACAAATTCATAATGGTATCAGAAAAACACTATAGAAGGCGCTTCAAAATATGATGGTCAAAACTATAATACATGTACTGTGCCTTTTTTTCATTGCATTACAAATCACCAGCAACACTATCTTTCTGATAGGAATATTCTGTCCAATTTGCGACGTTACCGAACTTAGTTATATTTGACGAGCATTGTCAAAAAGGTAAAGACTGAATTAAGAGTTGCATCTACCTTCATTTGTTATATTTTGGATGAGATTATTAGGTGCTGAACCATCGGGTAAATAAGCGACATGTGGAATGGCAGTGGCTGGTTTCGCTGTACCACTACATGGATGTTTGTTGAAACCAGTTGGTACTTGAGTCCTTGCCGGTAACTTGCCTGCAAATAATAGAATCCTGTAACATAAGTCTTCAAGAAAAGTAATAGATCATTGACTTTGTAAATTAGGTTTCACATGGGATTGAAATCCAATCGGTGACGCACCAACAAAATATATCTCAAATTATATTGCTATTTACCATTTATCAAAGACAAAACATAACAAACCAAATATGTTATTTTCTTCATTACCTTTATTTAGATACTGTGGGCCATAGGGATATCTAGGTCCAACTTTGCTAAACGCAATTGGTTGTTCAAAATTAATTCCATTAGCCCACTCTTGTCCAGTACATTCCAAATGGAAATTCTTATATTCCGGTGCGTAGAAGTCAGTACTGGTATAAGTCTGAAAGATAAATTAAATTGAGCATCCTCCATAACCTCTGTCTACTGACAGACTATTCTATGGTTGCACTGTCGTGAACTTAAGGATTTTGATTGTGGTGTTCTTATTTTGGTATGTAGGCCTACATAGAGACTCATCGGCAATATTTTCCTCACCCCTTTTCTGGCCCTGCCCTCCAACCCCCGTAGAAGTGCCACTGTATGTAGACAGTTCAATGAAAAGGGTACTTACATGTTTATTATCGTGCCTATTATAATATTTGTCTTCATTTATATCATTATAAGAAACTGACCATGGTATACCATGTTTATTATAATATATATTGCCATATATTTCATTACCTATACATGTATATATATATATATATATATATATATATATATATATATATTAAATATAACAGAATATGTTCTAAAGAATTATCATCTCGGTGTATACAGACAGAGGGTTATGACTTCTTTCTAAAACTATGGTGCAAACCATTCTATGAGGGTTTGTACAATTGGTCCAGATTTGACACAAAATAAGTGTGTATCTATGCAGTAAGATATTTTGATAATGGAGACAGTATACAACAGACACAGTGTTCTGTGGTCACAGAGAGCGACGCGTCTGGTCTGGTTTACTATACTTTCCAAAGCGAATTGTTAGTGTTTTATTGTGTACAATTCGTAATATTAAAGGTCATGTTAATCATAATCTTTGACATAAAATACTGACAAAGGGAAACCAATAAACTCAAAGAAGATATACTGGTTAAGAACCAGTCACATGATCTGGAGGGATAGGCTATCCTGATGGGTCCTTATAGACAAGGCAATAATCCAAATATATCCATATATGTGTTCTGTGGTTCTGATTCGTTTGGATGTAAAAATGAATCTTTTACAACATGAAGAAATCGTGAAGAAAATTACCTTCTGGTAAATTCCAGTTATCTTTCGTTGCTGCTAATTTTGGATATTTTGCTGTCCAAATAGAACTAGTATAGGGCACTGCCTGAATGAAAATGTGACAAATCTGTTACATACATATATCCTATAATTAAAAAAAGCTGACTTTGATTATTCTTCTGCCCAAATATGCACAAAATCAAGGTTTGTAATACTTAGTAAATTAGATGGAAGTCAAATTTTACAAGGAGAATAATTGTTTTTAAACGTAGTCGTTTATTTGAATGTGTGCTGTTTGATTATGTCCCTTGATTTTGACTTTTCAGTTGGGATATAAAATTATATGCAATTATATTCAGTACCTTTAGATGTTTTTGTAGTTCGGTGTTAAATTTTTTAGTCATTCCTCTACCATCAACTTGTATAGAAGCCTTGGTAGAATTATATAATACATTGTATCGGATGATATTATCTCTTCCTCCCCCAATATTGGCATGGATTTCATTCTGGAAATATTTCAATAAGCATATGACAATATCAACAAGAACAAATGTTTTCTTGATTGGTGTTCAATGCATTGCTTATGCTAATCCCATAAATGAAATATGAAATGTGAGTTTTACTCTTTGTCATCCTGAAGCAAGCAAACCTTTCTCGTGTGTTCCTACATGTCCAGATTGTTTCTTCACAAAAGTATCATCTGGGACAAACATTACAGATCGTTCCCACATGCTGATAATTTGCCGATATCAGGACATTAAAGGTCACAAAGGCCAATGAGAGGCCTCGATGTGACTACAATTTTAATGTTTAACGGAAAACCAGACGTTGGATTTGAATTCTGAAAGGTAAAACGGCACATGTACTTAGATTTGAGCTCTAACAACAAATAAAGCAGAGACGAGTTACACGTTTTAACACGAAGGGTAAACTTACATCAATAAAGACATTATGTTCAATATTAACACTAGAATATTGATCATCTAACATAATACCACGAACATCAGCACCAGGCCACAATCTTAATGATTTCTCTATATAATTATACCTTATAGCATTTCCTCTCTGAAAAACATGAAGTAGTATGCCTCACAGTCCAAACAAAGATTTTAAAAAATGGGAATAAGACGGGCCATCATTTTGTTATTCATGGGGTATTATGTCCAGGTTTGAACCATCCTCGTTGAAACCACAGTTTATCATGTAATATTTTGAATATTTATTATCTCGTTCTCCAATACGGGGTTTACTTTACTGAAACACAGAAGACATGTAAAATAGTTTCAGACACAAAAAATTAATTCCATATTGTCAAAGGAATTCAAAATATATCTTGAGTAAGCCATACAGATGTAGGCTCCCTATCCACTACGTACGAGTTATTATACCTACCATGGTCCAATCTCTACCAGCATGAATAGCTCCACAATCACTTGAATTAAAACAACATTTATTAAAATAGTTGTACTCCATGATATGATCATTGCCCTGAAATTACAAGGAGTTGGTTTGGTACTCTTTGACTTCGTAATCTCTTACAGGGGGAACACCTGAATATTCGTGAGGGCCTTTTATATAAAAATGGTTCTTTCTCCACCATACTTTAGGCGTAGGAAATAGATACCCATAAATTGAATGTAAATTTATGAACAAAATATCTTTGCAGATTCAAGAATTGTCAGATCTGGTGTCAAATTAACTTTACGTTATTTATCCCAATCTAATTACGAAGAACCACCATTATATCGTTAGTTTATTGTGCGATGACCATTGTTAATTTGACATCAAACAATTAGAACCTGACAATAGGAATAGGCGAACTCTCTTTCCAGCACTTGGCAGCACTTATATTTGACATTTCGGGCAATGGCTGAAGCTTCCAACCACTACTCAGTCGACGTAGTGGCATTGTTTTGTGTTGGTAGAAAACAGCTTCTACTCCCGGTTATCGCCCGACTACCAACCTTAAGGATTCGTTCCATTGTTATAACTTAAAATTAACTTACAGCCCATCTAATACAGGAATATGACCCATCATGTAAGTAATTATTCCTCACGATTACATTGACACCTTCTGGAGTAATGAAATTAGCACCGACTAATGTTGCACGCCCAATTTTCCACAAGTGATTATCTTCTATTATACTTCCAGAGGAAATCAGTTTGTTTCTATCGCCACCTATCGTGGAATATACATTCAATAAAGTAACCGTAGAAAATTCAATGTGGAAAAAGTGCTCAAGGATAGGCCCCTTTGTACTACAAGCCGTGTACAATCACTTACAAGAAAAATAGCAGTTCTGGCAAAGATTTCTCCCTCACATTTACATTGCATAACGTCAATTTCCATTGGTTCATTTAGGAATATCATGGTACCATGCCCTCCTCCCCCACACCCTCTGAAAACGTCACTGAGTGTTACCTTTCATGAAGACACCACCATCATTGTGATGTATATCACATCTTGATACACTTACAGAATTACACTGGTTAGAACATCTAAAACCATACGATCCTAGAATAGATTTTCATAGTGAAAAATTCTGTATCAGAATCCAAAAATTCTTTTAGCAATGGATACTTTTATCCTCTTATGGAAATGTAGCTAACGGGAATACGAACTTTCCTTTTTTCGTTAATCCGAAAGGCTGCTGATTTTCACTAAAGGGTTTCATTATTTAAGCTGTTGATCACATCCTCAAATACAGTGCACATGTATATGACATGTTCCAGTTTTCTGAAACTAGACCCCTACAAAACAGAGTGTATGTTTACCCATATTCTTGATTTCCAGATTAGAGATCTTCAGGTGACTAAGATTCGAACCCCAAATACCATAATGACGACATGCCTCTAATGTGAAGTCTTGAAGGTTGATGTTCGTCTTGCCTTGTGGTAATCTAGAAAGTAACGTTCATAAAAAAGAGTGATAAATCTTCAATTTATTAGATTTTCATATTAAATGTTCATTAGTATGCAATAACCGCTATTTTCTTTTTGGCTACCATTGTGATATTTCAGCGGAAATGTACATTATGAGTTCTTCAAACACGGTGACTTATATTAGTTTGTCACATTGTGTATTTGGCTCCAGTGGTATTTCTACGGAAAAGAAAAGATTCTGGTCCGGTTTGCCGCAGCCCCTCATCACCACTTCCAAATTGTTTATCATTCTAAATAATGAGAGAATGGCTTATGGCCGCCCTGGAAAATTTTGTGGCCCCTACTCGGCCCTTTCACCTGATGTTTCCGAGATAAGCCACTGTTTTGGCTCTATATAACACATTGTCACCAATCAGACTACATTTCAGGATGAAAACTAAATTTTAATTGATTTTTTGTTCGTCATATTCAGAAAAAGTTTAAATTTAAGGAACCGATTAGCCCTATGCCCCAATGTCCAATATCATTATGCTCCGGAATCCAATATAAAAAAGATCTTACTTGATACAGTCATCAATAAGAGAAACATAAACTATATCTGTTGGTGATAATGTACCAGATGGAGTGTTAGGCCAGAGGTACAAGATGCCGGTCGATCTGTCGAGGTAATATTCACCCTAAAATAATCATATATGTATTATTATATCATACTATACAGCGTAAAATGGGAAGAAAGTTTCCTGGTCACGTGGTAACATGGTGCGTTTCCGAGTATCTCTTTCTCTGGTAGATTTCGATGTCAACCGTCAACATCAGTAAGTCAAATAACCATCTATAGATAAATCAAAATGGCCGGTTCATTTCCAGTTATCACTTTAGTACAACCAGAATAATTTTATAGAGCTTCAAAACTACATTATCAATGAACTAATATTATATTGCTAATATAGCCCAGTATCTAGACCGTTTTCAGATCTAAACTTTTTTGACCAAATGATTTGTTACTAATAACGTTAAATTAATAATCATGAAATAGAATTGCCATCTTTAACATGTTCAATTTTTCCTTCCCATAATATCTTCTACATAACTAAGATCTTACCGGTTGATCTAACTCTGACAACATATTGATAACTCTGAAATACCCTCCTTGTTTACCATATCCATTCAGTTTATCACCATCGAGCAAACTTCCTGAAATCAAGGGGAAGCATTAGCATTAAAGTCAACCTTTTGCCGCTTTTTTTCTAAATCTAACCTGGGGTAAGTTATCTTTCTTGATCATTACAGCTGTAAATTAGTGCGGATAATCCAGGAATGATCATTGCTAAGATAGGACATAGATAAGAGATGCTCGAGAAGTCTACATGTATTCATTCTTTTATTCTAAAGTGACAATTATCAACCGCAGTGAACGTTAGGACATTATGAAATGTTTTGGATTTGAGTTAAAACATGTATTGTGAAGGTAAAAAAGCGGATGTAAGTTCGTCAAGAGTGAAACAGTAGTGTTAGTTTTGGATTAGGAGAGAATCATACTGGAACTGCCAAAGAGAATTAATATGACAATACCTGTTCTCATTCCGAACTTGGCCTTCTCTACCAGTGTAATGGTATGTGTACTGGTATCTATTGAGTTTACTTTGATAGACATATCAGCCCAACCCCAATACCTACAGTATAAGCAATACAGTTATGGGCCAAGATGGGGCCGCACGACATTATTACTTGTGCTTGTTAAGCTTTCTCTTCGTAAGACCATAATGTAATTTAGAGCAGATTTTTAGAAATATAACAATGTAGATATCTCAGACAGTATTTACAGAGAGTCCACATAGCTGTCTTTGTCCCATTGGCTTTTAACTTATGTATACGTCTGAAATCTTCTTGATTTTGAGCGCCTCTAGAAAGCATTTTCATTCTTCTTGAACACCTGATGATTTAAAACTTAAGTCCTTTCGGAGTGTCAACATAGCAATCATTCAATACTCACCAAAACCCAAACACCCATGGCTCTTTCTCTTGCTTCCATTTGATATCACGGATTGATTCGTGGGTAAATCTCTTTCCATGTTGACCATCCAAAACTTGCTTGATATTGATGTATTTCTGCAATTGGTTTTCGGATAGTATATATTAATAATATTTGCATTTTCTCCGACAAAATGTATCTCATGTATGAAGGCTTTCTGTTGTATTATCAATTTTGAGATTTTGCAACATCTCGAATTTTTTATTTCTCTTTCTTTCGCCGTTCTTCATTATTACGCTCAAATTCGATCACTTACATTGTTGGGCCATTCGGCCAATCGTAAAGGATTACCATTAATGAAGATCTCTAACGGTGCAACTCGTTCTCTATAAAAACCATAATTAGATAAAGAACCATAATTAGTGATACCAACATCTGGTAGGTGAATTTGTAGAACCTGTAAAAGACATGAGTAGATATCTACTCGGGTATAGCCTAATTCTGATGCCAATATTTGTGGAAGTCGAGATCAACAAAATTAGTCGAGTTTGTTTGTATCAAGCAAAACCTAATTGGATCTTCGTATTTAGTGATCAGGGTTAGGTCGTTGTGGCGAGTTTGCATACGTTTGGTTAACATGAGATTCTAGTACTTTCTATATGGTCTCTGCACGTAGAGCGTTTCCGTTAGTAGTATCTAAAAGAGTGGTAAAACGTTTGAACAGTTTCGGAATATCTTGCACAGTCTAATTCAGGATGAGATGGAGAATCGTTCTCTCTTGCGTAGGATGGGCTGTGTTTACATAATATACCAAGATTTGTACGTTAAACGTTCACCAATACAATGTAGCCACCATCAATGCAACCAGACAATTACCTTTGAATGGGCAACTTGGGGTATAACATTCAAGATGTTTGAATCGGTAACGTGTTTAAAGTTAGATGATTGGATACGCCTTCCTCCGGTCTGAAATATAACAGTAACAGAACAGTTGAACACAGTGTTGCTTATCTGCACTTTTAATGGAAAAGACAACAAGAGATAAGATAGTTCAACGTGAGATATATAGTAAACATTCCATATGACCCTCCTGGGAAATAAAAGTGCATTAAAGTCATTATCTTTTTTTTTGTACTAATGTCTTGAAAAATCGGAAGATTGCATAGCTACGACAAGTTCTCTAATCTTAAAAACTCTTGAAATTATTTACAAACGATCCTCGGACTGTTTCCAGTAGCTGAATTCAGTTCAGTCAAGTGTGAAAATTCATCATCATAATGTTCTGTCAATGTTATAGACAATGAATATATCAAATGTAGACTTTCCGAAAGGAGTGTCGGGTAGATAAACCAAGTCGCAGGGCGGCTTCAAGTTGTCCGGAAGGTTGAAACTGCCCTGAAATTCTAATAAGGTCTTTAGATTTTCTAGGTTAAATTTAATCGGATGAAGAATGAACTCGTGGACAATCTTGATAGATAGCCAGTGGCTCAACTACTATAGGCAATGGTTGTACCAAGTCCACGTCGCTAGAAAAAATGCAGGATATGCACTTAAGTCCACGGGCCTCCTCTCCAGTTGAGCTACTGCTATTTGCATTTGCTAAGAATAAAAGTTTTTACAGTTTTGCACCTAATGTAGGCTATATGTTAAACATGTCCTGATGCTGTTGTAACCAATATTGATCGTTTGACTCCTATCAAATATAAGAACGGGTTTTACGTTAGTTAAATGAACATACAACATGGACTTCTTGGTGATTGTAAGAACGAACAGTGACTGGTGCCGAGTAACCATGTGGAAATAAAACACTGGATGCTAAATCATGGTAACCTTGCATTAATTCGATTAACACTTCTGTAATAAAGCAACAGAAGAGATATTTACAGATGGACAACGTGATGTGTGGTGTGGGCGATCAAAGCGTATTTTCGCCGGTTCAGAAGCTAATGATACAACTGTGTTTATTTGCGAGAGGAAACAAGGTGGACGTGCGGAAGAATCCAATTTCCGCAAAACAAGAAATTGGTATGTTTTGTCCTACATTTCCCGTTATGTTGTATCAGAAAGGAATGCGGCAAAATCTTTGGAAACCTAATGGGATTGTGAAGACTAAGTTTATGTTTTTATGCTACATGTGTTTTGTCTGGTTATTCCATTAACTGCATTAACAATTCAACTCACCATTGCCTTTCACACCACTCTCATCAAGTTTGTTAACTGCTTTCTGTATTGTTTTCAGAGGTTGAGAGACGGTCAACCTAGAAGTTGAGATGACAAAAGATAGTGATTCGCATCATGGCAGGATTGAATTAAAGGATTCACGTAGAAGACACACTACCAAGGAAGACAGGGAATCTCAGACGTAAGAAAAAACTTTGTACTTAAAGTCGACTGCTGATTGTCATGCCAACGGTCTACCGTGAAGGTTCAGCTAGCTCTCTGGAAAGTTGCAGCTTTACAAACTGTCGAGCTTCTCAGGAACTGAATATTTCGACATCACGAAATTAAAATCTTGATGCGTATGACTACAGTTAACTATAGTTCTGAAACATTAAGATGAATTACCCTGAATTTGAGTCCGATCCATTTGGACTGACATAAATATGCACCTGTGCACAATCCACAGCAGCAACTAGAAGAATTAGCGCAATATTCCAAAGAACAGCTCTCATTGTGTTCTAAATGACAATGCGACCGTTATCTACCAATATGAGGATTTTAATCTAGTGATAAGAGATTCGACCTGGAATTTTATCCTATCGAAAACAATGTTCTTTTCAAGCTTTCTGTTCCTCCTAATTTTGGAATTTCTATATACACGCATTAAAGGGACAGATGTGATATTTTGGGTGGTTGAATTGAGTCTTGCATATATGTAAATAGTCTTCAGAAGTACTAGACATAGAAGAGCTGTGAACACTATTGCTGTTTCTAAGACTAAGGTTCGATTAGTAAGATCGACTGTACGATGTGTTTTTCGTTCTCAAAGGGCTTGCCATTGAAATATTGACTGGTTCTGACTTGCTGACCCGTCAAATGAAAGGAATGGAGTTTCTGCTTTTTTCTGCTCCTTCTCTGACTAATCATTACAATGTGACAATTTCTTTAATTCAAAATTAGACAATGTGTTTTAATGTAAATTTTAATCAGTCGAGATAATTGGTTTTTCCTGGATCTACCATTCTGATTGATAGATTGGAGGATTACTGAATAAGGTACTCCAAATAAGATCTACTCTACTTAGCAATTTTCCTAACAGTTTCACCTAACCGTGACGACATCACATCCGTATATCAATTGTCACGTCAAAGAAACTTGTTATAGTTTGTGATATCAGCATCCGCTGGAAGCGAACGTTAACTTGTCATCTACCAACCAACCAACCAGAAAATTGTTAGGACCAGATGGGTAGGAGCGGTAACTGTACATCTAGTGGCTAGTAGTCTGAATAGTTTTTATAACGATCAAGCTGCACCAATTTCTGAATTGTTGTTGATGTGTGTTCCATAATGGAGTTTGATATTTTGCGAGTAAACTGACGGCAATGTCCACGAAGCGCGAGTTAAATTGTGTAAGGTTAGATCTTTTCACCTTCAATCATTTGAAGTGGTGTAGTATTATTGTTGTCTTTCTCCTTCGCAAGTTATCTGGAATTCGGTATAATTCAAATATCACATGAATATTTCCACTTTATTTCAATATATCAATTAAAATCAACATGAAATATTATATGTTAAAATCACAATGAAAAGTTTATATAGAAACAAATACTGACGCTAGCTTTACTAAAATACTAAAACTAATAAGCAGATTATTGTAAACCGATGAGAAAAGACTTCAGAAATTTATTGCAAACATTATTGACTAATTAAATTTCATTTATACATCACAGTCATACAAAAAAGCATAGGGTAAAATATATTGATATAATTTGAAAAATAATTCATAATAAATGTCTTAATTCTTCTTAATAAAGTCTGTTCATTGCATGATTAGATGCAAAAAGCACATTAAAATGTTTTGAATATTTTGTGATATGTTTTGGCAAATCAGATAAAAAATTATAAAATTTTCTAGAATCATAAATTCTTCTGGTCCAGAAAGTTTTTGACAATTTGTAAGAATTGGTTGGATTTCTCAGAATGAACCCAGTGTCCAGCACCTTCAATCAGCTCTATATCACAGGTTGGAAAAAACTCTTTTATCTTTGGAATAGTGTTTCCTCTGTAAAAAAATATATAGAAAAAACATGTTTATCATTGGATATTCAATGTTCAACCCCTTATTGTCAATAAACACACCAAATATCTAGTAAGATGTACAGAAAATAAGAAGGTGTGAGCATATCACCTCCCATTGCATTCAACAATTGACTAGAGTTTACAGGTTTAAGATCACCTTGGAGTGCACCTATAGTAGGGCTATTAGTGGGTTGTAGATATCACCTGATCATTAATGATTAAACTGTAAAGTTTATTTTTTAACTTCTTGCCTGTTTAGTAATAATATGCTTTTTTTATCAAATCCAATTAAAGCAGCTTTAGCCCCAATCTATCAAAAAGTTTTTCGAACATCAATAAAAAAAACTTACGAAATTTGGGGTGATCTAGTGCCACCAATAAATAAAGATGGTTTATCAAATGTAACATCATGTATATCAGTAGGAAACCCCAATATTTTATTAAAATTAGAAATAATAGAATCCAGATTGATTCTCCATTCTACATCACCATTACTATTTTCTACTAAATTGGTCAATAAAAAGTTTCGAACTATTTTGTCCTAGAAGAGAAGAAAGAAGGAAAATTACTAAAAAGCCTTGGTACTTGGAGAGTTTAGTAGTTGTTGACGTTGGTACTTGGGAGTAAAAGCCTGTCAAAGAAAGTATAATGGAGTGAAATAAAAATACCGAAGAGTCCGTCACATTTAAGAATTAAAACATTTGTCCTGGTTATTAAGAAACAGGTGGTACAGGACACCCTTTGATAGGTTAAAAAAACATCATAAAAACATCACTGAGGTAATCAACTCATTATATACTCATGCAATATAATCAGAAAAAATAGAAAAGTTATACTCTAGTTTTAATTAGATTGACAATGGTGGACAATCTGTCCTGCTTCCTATATTCCTTAGGTTTCAAAACATTTAAACTATATACTGTACCTGTACTGTAGATTGCAATTGACTATCAACTTCTAATCTAGCTCTAGATAGAGACAAGTTCTTTCTTAAAGGTATTTCTCTCATCTTCCTAGCATAAGATTCTAGATGACCACTAGGGCTAATGGCTGGAGTTACATCTACTACTACCAATCCTTTTAATCTTTCAGGCTAAAAATGTGCAAGTTTTAATTTTATATGATACAAGATCTTTCAAAATCATTCTCTTTTCCATTAATTATTCTGGTTATGGTGAGGTTTAGAAAACTAAACTGCACCTGATATACAATATATTATTGTATGTCTGAAACTCTAGAGCTGCAACACAATTCAGGCAAAAACAAGCAGTACGTGTACAAGATCTTTAAAGTTGACTTTTCCACTAATGATTCAAGACTTAAGTAGAAAAATGACAAATATAAAGTATATGCTGTACAAGCCAGGTACTGGTAGGGCAGTTCAAATGTGAGATTCCATGCATCTGCCTGATATCAAAATTTGGTTTGTCAAAAAAAGTTGTAAATTTAAATACAAATGTGCACTTACATGTGTTAGAGCTGAGGTCATGACTAGTTTTCCTCCCATACTGTGGCCTAATAATATAACATCCTTCAATTTCAAATCATCTAACAAATTTTCTAGATCTTTGGCCATTAAGTGGTAATCCATATCTGAACTCTGACCACTTTCACCATGATTTCTACAGCAAACGGTCAGTACCTACAAACATACAAAAATCAGATTCAAAGTAATAATTCACTTGCAGCTTTTTACACTAGTGACATCATAAGAGTGTAAGTAAAATGAAATTGTAAGACCAACAGACATCCTACTGAAAATTGGATTGGTGCATATCGATTGTGTCCCTGATACGCATATGAATTTAAGAAAATATGAAGTGCAATATAACAGAACTAAAGAATGGTTTAAGTTTCAGACTAAGTTCTAAAAACTTATGAAAGAAAATATGGTCCAGAGGATTTTACCTTTCTGCCATCACTACTCAATCGTTTGGCCAGTGATGTAAAATTTTGTTTATTTCCAAATAACCCATGAACCATCACCAGTGGACCTTTTGTTTCTGATCCATCCCCATATTCATTGTATGAAAGCTGCACTGTACCATTATTTCTGTAAAATCAAGATTTAAATTTAAGACAGTGACATTTCTAAGAATCATTAAGTGTGGGAGTACGTCACTTGTCAGGGTTGCAGAATTTTCAAGGGGGGCTAACAGGCAATTCTTTTCCTATGTATAGTAATAAGAATTTTGAAATCGGATATTTTTCGGCTTATCTTTCACTCCTTCATTTGGTAGTCGAGTTTCCTGTTCAGTGTTGAGTGAAGGTTAAATTTACTTCTTCAAAAGTAAGAACTTACTGAGATGAAATCGATGAAAAATACCGACTAAAACATCGTGACAACAATTTTTGGTGTCGTAAAAATATATGAGGTCTCATTATTTAAACAAAATGAACAATTCAAACAAAACCAAAGTAACAAAAATAAGCAGACGAATTATTTCACATTTCAATCCATGTTGATTAACCGGAAGTTTACAATTAATAATTACGCATGTGCATTGGACTTAGAGCATGCTCAGTGAATACTTTTATCACTTCCGGTACATCCTCCCATGAAATTTTATTCGACTTCCTAGACAAAAATATTGAAAATGGCAAGAGAATACGACCATTTATTCAAATTACTAATCATTGGTGACAGTGGTATGTAGTCTTGTTTTTATTGACCTACTGTAATTCGACTGAAAATGACAGTCTGCTATGCAAACCCAACAGACAATTTATTTCGAGTGACACTATTTGATTGACACTGGCACTGTCATTATGTCAATCATCTTTGTCATTTCATTCTGAATCATTATTAAGTGGTTAATCACGACGGTCTAGTTTGTCTGGACTGTTATCAAAAGTAAATTTTACGTTTTATATATCTGTACAAATTTTTAGCCTAATCCAAATTGTGGTCTTTCTAATTAGAGTAAATTAGAGTAAATAGGCCTACCAATTACCAGTATTGGCAGTAAGCCTACCATAATTAAATAATGTGACAGTTCATATTGATGAAATTATTATTGCTATGAATAAGGCCAAATCTATTACAATGACTTTTTTATGGGTAGTGACTATGATTACAGTTTTCGCACATTCATTGACAGCATTAGATTTAATTTTGTCAAAAATGTTTAACGTTAATTTGAATAAGCTTAAGCTTATTAATTGGTATTAGCTTTAAATAGTATATTACTGATATAGTAATAGAAAAACTTTGCGTTGATAACGATATCAAGATTTTGTAAGTTTACAACAATGCCAATTGTTAATGGAAATGTAGGCCTACTTTCCTCACAAAAAGGTCTACAAATTTGGCTGAAAATTTGTAATGATCTCTGTAAAGAGAAATTTCAAAGTGATAATTTCTTTAATCGTGTTAATATTTGTATCAACACAAAGTCAATCTTCCTAGTTGTTCAAAGACAGTAGGATTATGGTCAATAGGAAATTGTGACAGGCGGGTAATGCTTCTGAAGATAGCATTGGAATACTTATATATTTGATTATTACCAGTATTATAAATGACTGACTAATGTTAGTCACCATGGCCCATTGTTGTATCTACTTTTGGAATCAAATAAGTTTTCACCATCATTAACTAAGTATGGATAATGATTGACACCAATTAAGTATCATTAAACTTGACTGTAAGAATGCCATGTGGTCTCTTGCAGAAGCCTGTACTTAATTTGTGTTTCTTATATAAAAATCTCCAGGAGACTGAGGTTCACATTCTATGGTATAGGCTATGAAATACCAATATGATGTATTTCAGGTGTGGGGAAGTCGAGTTTATTGTTAAGGTTTGCAGACAACACATTCTCAGGTATATTACTATTTATTTTATATGACATTATTATCATTGTGACTATCAGTTTGATCTATTTTTACCTTTACAAATGAATACAATTCAATTGAAGCTTGAGTTTTATTTGGAGCCTATTTTGAGTTAAATGCTTATTGCATGTCTTAAGGTCAGACCTCCATTCAGAAAGCAAAATTTAAAAAAAATATTTCATTTTGTTGTTTTGTACTGAATTAGTCATGGAATGTCTATAGACTACTCAAAGCAAGACAAAAGGGTTCTAAAATAGTTGTTAACTGAAATGCAGGAAATGGTGTTGGATCCCAGACTACTGTTTAATTGCATAATGAATTCAGGTGTAAAAACTGTTCTAACCTCACCAGCCACACTGTCACACTTATTTAAATCGTAAGACTATCTCAATTTGGCTGTATATTTGACAGGTACTTACATTACTACAATTGGTGTAGATTTTAAAATTCGAACCGTAGATGTTGGGGGTGAAAAGGTCAAGTTACAGATTTGGGATACTGCAGGTCAAGAACGATTTCGAACAATTACATCAACGTAAGTAAAGTTTCTTGCACCTTGCAACAAATTAAATCAACCAATTTTTTAAAATTTAAGATCTCATTGATTTAAACATTAACTACTGCCTTGGAAGTGAAAATGAGTAAGCACGATTTTTCCATTTAATATATATGTTCTAGGTATTACCGAGGTACACATGGTGTGATAGTGGTATATGATGTATCTAGTGGGGAATCATTTGCTAATGTTAAGAGATGGTTACATGAAATAGATCAAAACTGTGATGTTGTGAATAGAATTTTAGGTATGTTCAATGGATGGGTCTAACATTGTTTTCTAAATGATTTTGAAGTCAAGAATTCTGAATACTGTGCCTAATCAGCTCATTTACTTCATGTCAGGGTGATTGAAAAGCAACAAGTTACTATTCAATATAAGGCACTGGCACACATTTACTTAGTGTCAGAGTTTGATCTTAAACATAGTGCCTTTTGATTTTTCAACATAGTTTCCGCTTCTCAGTGATACAGGTCACAGAAGCTGACATTGAAAAGGGATAGAGCTTTCTACAATTTATGATCCCTTGAAAATGGAAAAAAAGATAACAAGGTAGTTAATGTCACATTTTTGCCTCATTTCCGACTGCAGAACACTCTTATTACACTTATCTGGAGCAGATAGGTATGCTGTAAAATTTCATCTCAAATATTTCATTATCTTTCATATTTTAATTTGCAGTTGGTAATAAAGATGATGATCCAGATAGAAAAGTTGTGGTATCATCAGATGCTCAAAGATTTGCTGATCAAATGTCAATACAATTATTTGAAACCAGTGCCAAAGATAATAAAAATGTAGAAGAAGTAAGTCATCCTAATTCAATCTAATAAAAAAATCTTCTTTTTTTTCAAAAAAGTTATTGAGAATGGTATTGTGCTTAGTAGGATGTATTTTTACTTTTGCAGTTTGATTTCTTCAGATTTCTCATCGTTGAGTTCTCTCTGTTAATGATACAGTCATTAAAAAAATTGCAAGAGTTCATTGGTTACAGTAGCAAACAGGCATTGGGCCTGTGATAGGTCTTTTCTTTAAGTGACAATAAAGCCCTCTGAATACTCATGATTCATCTCAGACCATCTGAAATCTGTTAGCTTCTGTGGGTGCCTTCGACAGCTCCCAAACACCTGGTCTCAAGGGGATTTGGCCTCACCGTGGAGAGACACCTCTCATTTTGGCCCCTTCTCCTTCGACATTTACTAGATAAGCCTTTGATTAGTTAGTATATGGGGTATTGCTCATGTGATTGTAAACTTTGTAGAAAAATACTTGTATATACACTAATCATTACATTTTGTCCATTCAGATGTTTTTAGCAATAACAAAACTGGTCTTACAATCGAAAAAAGAACAACAAAAGAAAATAGCGGACCAACCTCAAACAATTAAATTAGATGGAAGTCGGAAAAACAGCAGTAAGAAGAAATGTTGTTAAAAATTGACAAAAGCCTAGTATTTAATGATGTTTTAGAAACTTAACAAATTAAGCTCTTTGTTTCTTCTAATTTTATAACATTCTGATTTTGTTAGAGTTTTAGAGCTGGAAATATCTTAGTCTTATCCTGAATTCAGTTACACTCAGAATATATATCTGACATGAATACAATACACATACAAATTCAGAAAAGTTCTTTACAATCCTTTTAAGATATAAGAGCCCCACCTCAAGCTTGAAATCTATTGTAATGGATTAAGGATAGACTGAGATATTTTGATTGAAATTAGTCTTTCATCTGATTATGGTCATTATCCAAGGCCTGTCTATAGTTATCATATAGGAGTGTAAAGGGCTGTAAATGATTTATTTATATAGGGAACATGATACAGCTAGTGGTTTTGGGAATATTTGGGAATCTGCAAGGCTAAACCAATTCTTATTCAATGCTTTTATATGGTCAAGTCCTTTTCTGTGAACATAATTATAGAATTGTTTAACAGTATATGACATACATCAATATGATGTATTAGGGTCTTTGTAATAGCTATATCCTAAAACATTTGGCTTAAGTAGCATTGCAAGACCCTTAAAGAATTAATGTGATCTGGTCCCTGATACTCATAAAAAGTTTAGAAAACCTCTTAACAATCCCTTAAGTTAAATTATACATAGTTATAATTATTGAAATTTGTTGAGAGGCCAGGCATATCATTCATGTCAAAAAATAAAATCTTCAACAATACAGAAATTTATTTTAAGACCAAGCACAATATATCAACTGCTGTCCTTATTTTCTTTATCACTCTTTTGTAAATTTGGAGATGACTTTTTCATTTTCTTCAACTTATCATACATTTTGTATAAATCATACTGTTGTTTTTGTTTATTTATAAGACTATATTTGTATCATAATAATATATTATTTTTAATTATAGATCGTGTAAAGGGAATAGTTAGCCTAATTGTAGTTTTAATAGCATTGTGCTGATTTTAAGCTTTCAACCCAAAAAATTGAAATATTTACATAGAGCTCAATTTCACTGCACCTATAATGTGTAAACAAACTCTAGCAATGGCATGATTTGGAATTGAAAGAATGTCTCCCAATTTATTTGTTGTAAAAGCTAGAAACAAACATAAGCTATAAAAATCTAGAAATGGGATATCTTTGACCTTTAATATTAATTGTTATTAATGTTTTGTAGTTAAGGGGTGGTCAAAATACATTTATACAAGAACCCAATTAGTGCTGGCACATTATAATTATGAAATATATCCAATATAGATTAGATAATGCAATATAATGTTTTTGTGTATTATATAGTCAGTTGCGAAATAGGATATCTGGATATGAACATCTTCACAATTGTTAAGCTATTACAAACCTCGTCTTATACCTTGACTGCAATAGCCACTTCACAGAAGTTTGTAAATGCAGTGATTTGCTTGGATTGTACGTTAGCAAATAAATGCACCCAATGAGAGTACTCGCCAATAAGCATTTTGTCTGTCGAGGGCTATGATTGGCTCATTGGCTATACTTGTACAATCCAATCAAATCGCTGCATTCCATGATACAAGAAAGGATGCTACTGCATTCTAGGCATAAGAGGAAGGTTGCAATACCTTGACTATTGTATAGCTGGATATGACAAGATATGTACAGAAATTGTATTATAGTGATTCTTTAATCTTGATGAAGAAACCAGCTCAATTTGATATGTAGATATTGGTATATTATTAGGCCTGGCAATATCCAATAAGACAGGGCATTATCAAGAGACGTCAGGCAATAGTTACCTCTTTATATTGTTAACTCTTTATATTGTTAAGGCCCCTTGTTATATTAGAATTACTTCATACCAGTAGCCCCTTTTGTTAAAAATACAGTAAATTGATTAATCTTAATTTTTAATTAACTTTAATGATAGGCCTATCACATCAAATTCTTGAAGTTTATTATAAAATTGGATGCAGCTGGTTGACCTCCCCTTGTATATCAAGTACTAGACTGATGTAAAATGAATTAAAGTGTAAAATATATATAAATACATAAAATGTAGTGTATATTATTCTCTTTACAGCCCCTGATACCGAACCTTATATCTGCGCTCTGCCAACACTATATTATTATGGACGTTGTTTTAAGGAACAAATCTACCTGAGTATACCTGGCTATTTTAACAATGTTAACCTAGGTATCAAGAATTCTCCGGTGCACTCATTACATATCACTATGTGATGTTTTTTCAACCACCTGAATCATGATAGCAAGAGTCAGTGATTTTTTAAGAGGGAAGAGGAAATGTTTTTTGTTTCATATGGTCATTTTCCTGCATATTTTGATCCGAGGTGGCCAGTGACCTTTCTACGGGGGGAGAGGGTGGGGCCAGAAAAGAGGCTAGCATTGCCATAGTGAAAGAGTTCCGTACTTGGCCATTCACCATTGTTTTCCTAGTAACGCTACTGGAGGTGGCTCCGTGAGTTGCTCGCTAACCTGAAAGTCCAGGGTGCAATCGGATACGATTGATCGGCATCGGATACTTCCCTCGAATTCGTCGTCCTGGTTTCCATCTGTCATTGATGCAAGTCGGATGGGTCAACATGGTGAAAGTACCAAGTCGTTGCGTATATCAGTTTCTACATAACTGATGAAGGAAATATTTATCATTCTAACAGTAAAACAAAAGTATGGTAATATTTCATAATATATGAATTTTATTAAATGCCTGCTGTACAATCGGTCAAAAGAGACAGATTCTGACAATTTCCAATAGTTGGATCGAAACCAGTACCAGGAGCACAAGGTCTTGACACATATTCACCATTAACACATTCTCTGTAGTGAGTACAATTCGCAGAATCTTCTACAAGATCAGTTCCAGTACATGCTGCAACAGAAATTTTTAAATTAATACATTGGATACTTGCGACGACGTGTTAAGATTACATATTATGTCAAATATATTGTGGAAATTTAAGACGTCAATCCCTCTGAACATAGAGAAGCCAAAAACGTCCACTTGTTTTCTTGTTTTCTTTTTATTACATTATAATGTGGGATGTATATTAAAAGTGAGATGTTCCTGTTTTGATGATTTCTTTTTTAAATCGAACTTATTACAAGTAACATCAAGTGAATCTGAATAAAGAGCAGTTCCTATTGAACCACTCCGTAATAAAACTATCGTTCTTGTTTGAAGGGACTAATGCGCCAATTTTTTTTTTAACCAATCGCACTTCGTACAATCGTCTCAAAAAAGCTTTTTTTTTAAATCTAAGCCAAACCGTAACAGTGTACGCAACTCATCGTCACATTTGAGCCTCCAAATCCAGGTGTGTCGAAAATTATCTGCGATTGAATGTTAAAATGACGACTCGTCATATTAATATTCCTTGTGATATATAGCAAAGACATTTTAGAAATAGTGTGTAAAATTTTTAAAAGTATTTTTAACGGAATTATGCATTTTTCTTACATATATATTGTTATATATTCAAGATCAAACTTGGTATAATATGGATATAAGACCTAGTATTGGTATAGGTGAGATCTCGACTGAATTCTTTTTTGTTTATTTTTCGAAGAACGGTTTTTCAAGCCATTTTCCTTAACTAGTCAAATTACGCGATAAATGCAAATGTTTTGAACCGATTTGGATATTGGTGTGATCTCAGGCGAGAGCTATTTAGTTATTGCCCTTAATATTAGACCTATCTGTTACAATAATATGTTTTTAATATCAAAATCAAATCATACTTTCAACTGACACAGCAAAGTTGAGAAGCAAAGCGAAGACAAACATCATTTTGTAGAGCTGACTTTTCATCTTGTATAATAGGTTTGTTACTAATGATACTGAACACCATCGAGATATGGACTTTATATACAATTTGGTTATCTAACAACTGCAGAAAAATCAATATTCAGATTAACATAAAAGCTCACATTACTGCTCTTCGGTTGCAGAACTTAAAGGGACGGTCATATTTTTTAATCCAAAATTTCCATTATCAAACACTATAAATTACACGCGTTGTCTTTGCGAATAAAAGTGTTGTTGCTCCTTTATTGCAATTAAGTAAAACTTGAAAAGAGTGCATAGAACAAAAACAACCAGCAAATGTCATATTAATTAAGCGTTACGTTTCTGCTTCATTCATTCATACAATTCAGAAAAAATCTGTTGTTTATCAAAAAATCTTTTATTATCAAGTGTCATCAAATCGGATCAAAGCTGTACCCTCTGATTTGGTATAATCGAGGGAATAACTCAAAATCCGTTCATAGAATATTGTCGAATTCGTACAAGATCATCTATACATATACATCGTCCGAAAGAGCAATTTCTTGACTTAATTTGACTAGTCAAGGAAAATGACTTAAAACCGTCTGAGATCCCACCAATACCAATAGACATTTGGATGCCAAGTTTGATTAAAATCCAGTAGTTTAATAGAAACTGATCTTTTTTCAGATTTGTTTTATGTTACTGGTAACTATTACTTTTACCCTTGTGTTTATTATTTTGTGTTACATATTTTGATTATATTTGTTATAATTTGCATTCATTGTTGTAAGTTATTTTGTTTTATTTTCTTACTTCAATTTTTTTTTTAAATAATTTTTATTAACACTCCCTGGCATTTACTCGGCATATATCATATTAATATGCAAGCCATTCTTCTTATCAAATACATTTCGTCATGGCTAATTCTAATCGCCAAACTACTTTTCGACCTAGAGCTCTTATGGACATCCGTGTTCCCCACCCATACTACTATAATTACCCCCCTCTGCCATCTTATCGTCACTAATCTCATCCTCCACCTCCTCCTCAGTATTTTTACCAACGTCAGTATTACGTCAACCATAACTTACACAGACTGGGTCAGCACCAGCAACGTCATCAGCAGAACTTGAGTTAACCAAACCACCACAAAGTTAGCCACAATGCTGAATCTCCCTTCATCTGTTCTATCAGATATTACAGGCCCTACATCACATGGCTACTATGAAAACTCAAATAACAGGCAAAAACGCTCACAGTTTTAACTTCAAATTGGAAGAGCTTGATAATTTTATTAAACCATTTATAATCTCAAAAATTAATCGTTCTTGGGCCAAAGAAATTTCATCTGCACTAGTAAATCATTATGAGTCAATGCTTACAGAAAAGCTTAAAATAATTAAAGACCGTTTATTTTCGCAACCACAAATAGCACATTTTTCTTCTAAAGCTCTCGAATGGGCTAAAAGTAATTATCGTAAAAAATTATCTCACGAAACCATCACCTCGTATCTCATTATTGTTAGGGACATTGGCACTAATCCCTATGAAAGCATGGATGTAGGATCCTCCTGTACACCCTCTGAAACAGTTGCAAAATTATCATCAGCAGTACCTCTTCAGAATAGATTTACAACACAGAGCAATCCACAACGAACTACGGGAAAACGTCTACGTTCCCCTGACCAGACGATTGATACTCCAACCAAAAACCGAAAGACGATACTCAACTACCAAACTTCGCCTCGATCACAATCTGTACCGACCACTTCTTCTACTCCACCACCAGTTCGAACCACCCCTTCATCAGATAAATATTCTACCCCTCCATCTCCATCAAGACCAATTCCTCTTCCTCGAATAGCTTGTTCCTCCAAACCAATTTATCCATCACTTCCCACAGTAAATTCAAAACCATCACCAATCCCACCCCAAAAAACATCATGCAAACTCAGTATGGAACTTCCACGTCGTCACGATCCCAAGAATAAGGGTGCCTGGCATCTACTCACAATAAACAAGCCAATTCTGATCATTGGATCTTCGAACATCAGCAACATAGCGAAAGGCAGAGATGATGTCCAGATGGAATCATATCCAAGTGGAAAGATATGGCATATCAAAACTATTCTTAGTAATTTGTCTCTTCATCCTATTTCCCTCGTCACCTTATTCTTCACATTGCATTCAACAATAGAGCACAAGACGGCCGTAATATTTACCATCATTTACTGGATCTTTTGCAAAGAGTTAAGACCACTTTCCCTGATACCACCAGCCATGTCACTCACATACCTATTTCATCTATTTTCCAATCAAAATTCAAGAACCTCCAAACTCTTAACGACCTTCTAACTAACCAACCACCACCAGATGTCCATGTCGTCAAGCCAGCACCAGGTACAATTACAGTAAATTCTGATATGATCCACTGCAGATAACCTCTTCAACCACTTGATTAATAATCTCAATACTTTAAACTAAAAACGGGGGGTCTAGTAGCAAACAGAACAACTCAATTAGGTATAATACGGTGGTCAATTTGAGTCGCAGATTCCCTACCACAGATGAAGAAAAATACTAGATACTTTTACGCCTTGTGATGGACTTCTGAATCACGAAATATTAAAAACATTCGACGAAATGAACAACAAGATATCTCATCTACCTACCTTGCTGTGTCATCCTCGATAGAGATGATTACATTTTGGAAGCTGAAGCGCAACTAAACAATGTTGAACATTATGCTATTTTGGACAATGCAATTTATCAAGATACAGCAACTCAAATATCAAATATTCTTTTGAAATTAGTGGAAGACAACTACATAAATGAAAAGCAGTTTCAATACTTGAATCCTGGATTACAAATCGACATTTTTATTCCTTACCCAAAATTCACAAAGATCCATCAACTGAATGGTTTATTCCTAACCAAGTACCTAAAGGACGTCCAATCATATCGGATTGCTCAAGTGAATCGTATCGTATCTCAGAATATTCTATTACCTTTGACATCAAACCACCTGGCATATATAAAAGATACTAATGATTTTGTTTCAAAAATTAAGGAATTAAAAATACCTAGCAATGCTATATTAATTTCAATGGATGTTCAAAGCATGTCTGGTCTCCGCCTCTGAAACTGACACTCACCAACTTCTGTTTAAATCCTCTTTTCACCCTAAACATACATTTTCGGGAGTTATTAAGTCCCAGATATTACGGTTTTACCGAATTTGCACACGAGAAGAGGCACGCTCTATTGTTCTTAAAGAATTTCAGAAACGCGGATATTCTAAACGGTTCCTTCGAAAGATAATGAATTTAACGATTTGTGAAATGAAAGCCAAGTTAGATGTCTCTACCACCATCGACCTCTCTGCAAATACCACACCCTGTTTCAAAACTTCTTGTTTGACCTGCCCATTTTTTTTTTAACTCAACTCGTTTTTTCACCAACACCTCAAATAATGCCAAATTTCCAATAACAGAAAACCTTTCGTCTGACAGCAGCAATATTATATACCTTATATCATGTACTGTCTGTCTTAAACAATATATCGGTGAAACAAAAAACAAATTAAGAACACGATTCAATGGCCATAGATTCGATATAAATCATAATCTTGACAAATCTGTTGCTTAACATTTTAACCAGTCAGATTACACTATAAATGGTGTCCGAATTACACCTATTGAAAAAATTCACGAATAAAACGAAATCCCAACAAGAACCTACAGACTCTTCGAGAAAATTTCTGGATAAACAAATTGAAAACAATACAGGCAAATGGTCTTAATGCCCAAGTGGATTATCAAATAATTCCATTTGCTATACTTTTCAGTAGCACAGCTTGCCAAGCCATACCAATTATCAAGGAACTGTACAGGGAACTCCAACAAAAATTCCCTGATATATTTAAAAAAGATTTAGTTATTGCTTTTAAACGCAATAAGAATCTTAATGATATTTTAGTCCATGGTAGACTTGAACCCAAAGCTCAATAGAACTTTAATATCAATATAAGTAATTATATATATATATTGTTTTTACAGACTATTGGTTCATCTCCATTATAATTTAATACTCTCTCTTTAGTTCATAGGATGTTGGTTACAGAAACAGAAAACGACGAACTGCATTCACATTAATATATATACTCTATTATTTTATAATTATTTAATTCGTAATTAGTATTACTTTATAATTTAATTTCATTGGTTTATAAAAATCACGTTAATGTAGCTGAATTTTCACCCCGACCTGTGCTTTCGTAATTTCAATTATATGTTGTTACATCCACTATTATCTAAAACAGATCTATGTACTGAAGCTCAAATACGCCATGTTTTTGAATTTCGAATTTGAAATTTTCTTTTTGAATTTCGAATTTGAAATTTTCTTTTTGAATTTCGAATTTGAAATTTTCTTTTTGAATTCATAAAAAGGCTTTGTAAAAATACTTTTGAATTTATAGATTAAACTTGTTAGAGACTGTGTGCATATTGGAAGCAGACGTTGGGGGGTTAATAATCATTCAACCCCAAAGCAAGCGAGGTCAGCTAGACACTCCAGACAGGAGTAACTAGGCCACATAAAAAAAACAGTTGGTGATCGTCCCAGCCCGTGTCCGAAAACGGCCCCGTCCCTGATATTTTTTTTACAGAATAACTGTAATATAATAGGAAATACCACCCGAAGATGAAACTACCAAATTCCGTCAATCTAGGGAGGCCCATTGGATTGAGACATTGAATACAGCAAGACCTATAGGACTAAATATTCATCATAATGTAGGCATAGCACCCTTTGTTGTCCCGTTTAATACAACCAGCAATCGAGCAAGCAAGATAGTTCATGCCCACTATAAGAGCCTTCAAGAGAAATTCCCCCATGTCTATAAGCAGAAAATGATAGTTGCATATTCAAAAAATAAGAACTTAAATGATAATATTGTTCATAGTAAACTAAAAACAATCAGTATACATAACAGATACTATACTTCTCGCCCATCGGGCGAGTTATTTTTTCTGATTTCAGATCAAAATAAGAACAGAAGAAAACCCAATATCAAGACCCTTAATCCTAATTTCTAAATAAAGTGTCTGCTCCACCCTAGGCCTGTACATTTGGGAGAATCAAACCCTCCCTTCCCCGAAATGTAATATAATAGGAAATACCACCAGTAGGTCCCTCTAGCGACCATAGAAGGAACTACAACGCGCTGCCATCACAAGGGTCACTATCCTCACTGCTCGAGGAAAAAAGGTGTATCAAGACGTAGGGTGAAAAGACAAAAACCATGAGCTGTTATTTGTTGTATAGGCCCACCATGTGGCAGGTTGTTCCTTTTCAAATGGAACAGCTCTCAGATATCATGTGTATGTTAAAAGGCCCAAAACACGAAAAGCTTCATTATAAAGGTAGAACTCTTCTTAAACACAAGTATTTGTTAGACGCTTCTTCTAAAACTGTCCGTTTTTAAATTTTGAGCGTACGATTCAGGCAAAAAGGTTTTACATTCATAAAGACATTTTCGGAGCCACCTTGTAATGATATGCACCTAGGGAGGAAATGATTGGACAAGAAGGCACTGAATTTTAAGCAATTTTACTAATTTACAAAAACAGAATATATGCAGTCTGTGGAATATATTTTCCTCAATTTATTGTTTGCATGCTTCTGGCGAGGAATAAAGAAGTATCAGCATGTGGGCTTAAGTGTTTTAGGGACCCATGAAAATAGATAAATATAAAAATACCCCCCTCCCCTGATTGCGTAAATTGAAAGGACGATCACCAATTTTTGGTCTTATATGACAAAATTCAATTTCATTCAAATCCCCTCTCTCATAGTGCTTAGATTTATATATATTATCAAGCAAAAACGGTTAATATGTTTCAAAAAGTGAATGGTTCAAATTAACCAGCAAGGGAACTGGTAATCTCCTCGTTGGGGCAGTGGCTATTTACCACTGGCGTGATAAGTGTGGTAAATAGTCATAAGTACCCTTACAGCAATATACCACGGCGTGGTAACTTGTTAAATTAGGTCAATGTCACCATGGTAGTCTATGGAGAAAAAACGTGGTATTTAAATTTTACCACGTTTTTTTTATTTGTTGGATTTCATCCAATTTTATTAATATGTCAAAAAATCACACTTTTTAAGTTTCAAAAATATAAATATTGTGCACATTTCACATTGTTAGCTCACTAAAATAAGCATTTTAATATCCCTAGCGAAAAAAATATCCGCCATATTTAATATCAGTGACTGTGGTTTTCAGGCATTTTGGATGCTAAATTTCACAGTCCAAAACATTTCTACAATCGCTTTATGATGTAAACTATAAGGAATGCGTCAGAAATTCTTTTCATTCCATTGCGAAAAGTGTGAACAATCTATAAGTTCCCCAAACAGACATCCATACCCTACATTTTATTAATTCACACCCAAAAAGACAAATTTTCTCTACATTTCATTATCAAATTAACTCATTTAAAAATAGGATGAGATGATAGGAAAGGTCCCACTCCTTATTTTCATCATAAATATACCCTCAGCTAGATATGTTTAATAGGTTAAATCAACTCAATTAAAGCGAGGTAACTCTGTTTGAAAATGCTTCAGACCAAAATGTATTTTTATAACCAAAAGGCGTGGCCTCCCCATATATGTTAAATGAAGGAAATTATTTTGTTGAATAGGGTTGGGGGGCTCTTTTGATTATTCTATTAATCATTCTATCCCTAGAAGAAATCATTGGAAAGAATTTTAACAGTTCCAAATATCAAACTTTGGAAATGTCTTTTCAAATTGAATGTTTCTTATATGATTGACTGAGTTAAAAAACCTTTAAAGTCAACAATACCGTATTTTCCTACCTGTGGTCAATTAGGTATTGAACTTTCATTTCCCTTTTCTTGGCCAATTCTACAGAAATCTTTTCACAACAGGAGTAAATATAAATATTCATATTGAAAAAACACAAGGAGATGAAACCGAGTACAGTTTATTATTGGAAGAAGCAAAACATTGAATTAAAATAGCAGAAAGAAGAATGATAAGAATTGAATAAAAAAATACCCTTAAAAAATTTAGCCAAAAACTTTAGTTAATAAAATAATAGAAGCTATTGAAACAGCTTACAATGTTAAAAAAAAATCAGCATAACTAAAAAATAAATTGATGAATACAAATATTGTAAAGTCAGAGACGATATAGACTTAGAAAGAATTGATGCGAACGCAAAAGAAGGTGGATTTTTTACCTTTCCTACCGATTAAGTAGCTGAAGGTATAGTTGCCACAGTAACTTCTGTCAACGATAAGAAGGCAGTGGATGATAAAAACGCCGAAGAACGTAGACATAATTTAGTAATGGAAAAGGAAGCATGGAAAGCAGCTACTACAAAAGATTCGGGAGTGGCAGATATATTAGGTACAGTTAAAGAATTTGGAAAACGATTTGGGGAAGAAACCAAGAAAACTGTTAAACAAGGATTAAATAAATTAATAGATAATATTGATACAGGAGAAATGCCATAGTTTTTAAAAACATACACACTGGAGAGGGAATCTTTCTTTCAAAGTATAAAGGAGAAGGAGTGATTTTTGGAACAAAAATATAGAATGGTAAATAGATCAAAAATGGGAAAGAAATTCAAACATTCAGAAATATTTCCTAGTAGCCCAATGCTCATGTGTATATGCGGTAGTTCCGGTTCTGGGAAAACTCATCTCACTTTTAACATGTTGACAACACCAAACCTTTTAAATTTCGATTCTCTGTATATCTACACAACAACACCAGAGCAATCGTATTATCAATTCCTCAAAGCTTTAGATTATTTATGTTCAAGACATATTTCAAAATATAAAATTCATTACCTAGGCCTGCACTTTTATGGAATTTTTATTCTCAAATCACCTTAACACCGATAGGATCCAACATTACAATTTTTGTGGAAATATACATTACTTACTCAGTGGCGTAGCCAAGATTTCATTGACAGGGGTGAGGGGCACCTTTGCCCCCTTTTTGGCTTTTAGATTGCACTACCCTCTAAATATGCCACTGTAGTTACTTGAAAAAAGGTAGTAATATAAGATTTCAAAACTTATTCCCAAACAAAATACCTCTTACGATCATTTGGGTAAGATTAGACCTGAATTGATTTTGAATACTTGTAATAAGCCTGCTTTCCAATTCATTCACAAGGTTAAAAGTAAATTTTGACTAATTTGTAATTAAGATCTATTGCCGAAAGAGCAAATGAATGTACACTAAATTTCATACAACGCGGAACTTTTTAGATAGGTTTGAATTGAGAAGTATTCAGCCTTGAACCACGAACTCTTCAAAGTCGGCTTGGACAATTATTTGTAAACAAACGCGACATTTTGTTTTCCAAAAGCGAATTTTTGATGAACATGATGAGTTTTTGAATTCAAAATCGTTATTTTGAATCTATAGGTGGTTTTAGGCAATTTTTGTCGAAAGGAATATATACCTTGTTGGGGTACAACATTATTCGAACAGTACCAAGACATGGGGGAAAAATAATTCTATCATCATCAGCAAAAAGGGTCACAGGCATATATAATTTCAAAGTCAAAAGTATTTTTTCAAATTCAAAAGTATTTTTACAAATTCGAAAGTAAAAAAAAACTTTTCGTATCTATGGACTCAATTCAGGGACTTATTAAGACTTTTACTTTAACCATTTAAAATTCATTAAAAAACAAAACAAAAATTTATCAGTCTGGTAGCTTAGTTGTCATGCTTATAATATATTGATCATTAGTGAGAATAGAGTACTACAAAGTGATCTAAGTCTTTTCAATTAGAAGATTATCTTCAATGGTTTTAGATCCCTAGATCGCCCACATTATCGATCAGTTTCTATTCTTCCGTCAAACTGTAGAGTGACTGGCCTAAAGTTAACAAGTCGGAGCCTAAGATAAAATGAGATGAGATTTTACCTCAATGGCTACTATTTTGAACTTAGTAGTCACATCAGTGTCTATCGTTTCTGTAAGACGGTTTGCTCCAATTAAAAACTCAAACGCCATCCAAGGATCTGTAGAGGGTAGATATTACTTTTTAATCTCCGATTTTTTGCCCACATTGTGCTATTCAAAAACAAAGATACAGGAGCCCAAAATTATGAATGGGAAGAGGACACCCGCCAAATGTTTTCTTTCATATAGTAAAATTGTTAATTGTCTAAATTTTCTCTACTTTTGCTTGAAAACATATTGCGTTTAAAGTAAATGCGACTCATTTTATTCCACATTATTGAACAGCATACCTGATGAAGGCCATATTGTTCATTTGAACGGTAAAGCAAAAATATGGTTATACTTTTAAATATATGATTTTTATTTATTATATGTTTACTGAACATCCATTAAGGATTACAATTGGGTAAACGAGACAGGTAGTCACAATTTAGAATTAATGGACTGAAACCAGTACCATTACCACAAGGTCTTGATACGTATACACCATGAACACATTCTCTGTAGTGAGTACAATTTGCAGGATCTTGTATAATTCCACCTCCAGAGCAAGCTGCAACATACAAATTTATAAAAAAAACATTAAACATGTGAAATTTGCGACGAAGATCGATATACTAAATACAGAACAGATAAAATTTGTATTCAGATATAAATACGTCTGATTGGTAGATGATCGGATTAATTACATAGAACTTCACGATGTTGGCCAAATTTAATTCTATTCTGCCAGAAAAACATTAACCTTTAGTTTAGTTTTTTATTTTTTGTATGCACCACATACAATTATCTTAAATATATTTGAAAATTGACTAATTCAATGCTAAACTTAGAGTTACTTTGCTACAAACTTTAACTTTTATTTTCTTTCTGTACATCAGTAGAAATTCCCTTTGTCTATTCTTCTTAATATGATCCTAATCTATACATGATAAAAGAGTCTAAAACCTTGGTCAACAATGGACAGATTTCATTGTGAATTTGTCATAGTTTGAAACTCTATGGACTCTATCCTCGCATCTTAGAATTGTGAAGGTTACCAGCAAAAGAACAATTTTCTTCTCTCCGGTGGAACAAATAAATGCCAGAATTAATGTGATATGAAATCCTTTTCTAGTTTTCACTTTTGCAAGATGTATGTAACATGAAGTTGCCTTATTTTAAATCCCCACTCCTAAAAAGAGCATGTAAAGGGTCCTAGGCGATCTGCGAATTGTCTGTGTTACCAAAATCATCTAAATTGTCTAAACTAGATCCATTTTCAAGCTCTAAGAGCGACAAGTGGAATTTCAACTGATTTATATAGAGGAATAAAATTATTTTCTATTCGAACCACACACTAGAATCTCTATATAACAAAAGAGTATAAGAGCTTGGTCACCAAAACAGGTTGCATTTTTGAAATTTCTCTCATTGTCGTATTTTTAGTTCAAAACTCTATGAACTTGTAAACATTATCAGCAGGAGTTCGTTACAAGATTTCTTTATATTTCCTTCCCTCAGATTCATAAAATAAATGCCATTTCTTAATTTCATTTTAAAACAAATCGATGTGTCATGCAGTTGTCTGGATTTAAAATCTGGTGTTGGTTGGTTACGAATTCTCATGCAACAGCTTCCTCATTTCCGACAAACTCTTGTGGAATTGCAGGAACCACAGGCATCAAACGAAGAATAGGAATGTCCCAAATAGAAGTCAAAGGTGGCCCCGATACAGAACGAAAGGCTAGAAAACCTCTTTACAACCACCTTTAAAGTTAGTCCAGAGTAACTTAAAGATCAGCATAAAATTAGCCAGTTTCTTAATATATTTAAGATAATTTGAAGTGGTGCATACAAAATATGAAACTAAACTAAAAGTTAATGTTTTCGGGCAGAATAGAATTAAATTATGTTGAATTCTATTTGGTGTATACGGGCAAATATCAAAATCAAATCATACCTTCAATGACTTCAACTGACACAGCAAAGTTGAGAAGCAAAGCGAAGACAAACATCATTTTGTAGTGCTGACTTTTCATCTTGTATAATAGGTTTGTTACTAATGATACTGAACACCATCGAGATATGGGCTTTATATACAATTTGGTTATGTAACAACAAATCAATATTCAGATTAACATACAAGCCCACATTACTGCTCTTCGGTTGCAGAACTTAAAAGGGACAGTGTTAGATGGTGATAAGAACATAGTCTCATAAAAGCACTGGCGTAGGTCACAAAGTAAAGATTTATGATTAAACAAAGTGCAAGTTAAAGGTTAAGATAATAAAATACGTTAACTTTAGATGTCTCTAAATTACTATCTGTGGTGGTATCATTTATTTAACTGAAATAGCTGAAAATATAAGAGTCAAGATTCTTCTGATATATCAATAATCATCTTAAGATAAAACCTGTATTGTGAAGCAAAATCTTGTCATGTACGTATAAGAAAATAGGAAGAATTAATAGAATGAGTCTTTGTATGAAATTCAAAATCAGAGAGGTGTACCATCGAAAAGGATATTACTGAGATTTTTATTTCATCTAGACACGAGGATATTGGTCTTGTAGATCCTGGTAGTGGCTTCTGTTGATATGAAAGGCATTAATGACAGTATGATTGTAGGTGTTAGTGATGCAAAATTATTACTAAAGACGATGTAAATTAGGCACTAAAAAATATTTCTATATATATGCTGTTCACTTCTATGCATCTACTAGATCAAACTGAATTTGTTTTAAGATGGTTGATAAACTGGATTTGGTGTTGGGCCTTATACATGCTCGATAATTTTAGTAGAAGCCTTCAGAATAAGTTTTAGATTATTTCTCTACAATTTGGCATTTGATTATTATATCGAGCCGTGATTCTCGAATGTGTAACTCACGAGGCCGGCTGTATTTCAGTTCGATTATGTTTTATTACCACATAAATTGTGATTCACTCTTGATCGGGCTAAGTACCCAAAACCAGCCGATGAATCCTACAGAACTCTTGTTCTGTTTTGCAAAACCAACGTGTGCTGCCAAAAGAAAAATTAGAGATATGAAGCGAGTGCCATAAACCCGAATCTGTTTTAGGGCGGTCCGAGCGCCTCTCCTTCTTGCAAATAGTAATGGCTTTTGCTCCTTTTTCAACCAAATAATTAAAATTTGAAAGTAATGCATACTGAGAGATGTTGGCATATTGTAGTATGGAATTAACTAAAATTATTTGTATATTGAGAGGGCTTTAGTTTTGATCTGATTTTGAAGATAATTGGTATACATTTACATATTGATGAGATCTCAGACAAGATACGTTTATCTATGCGTCTGAACTGCATGAATGAATTGAAGCAGAAACTTATATAATTAGCAGAGAACATAATGTAATCTTTCATACAAAGCTTGTACGCCTACTTTGGCATTTGGTAAAGCGATATACATTTACAAAGATGCTTGAAAACTAAGAAGCGATTACGTTTTCGTTATACAGGGACATTTACTATTTGCAAGAAAGAGACCGCCTAATATGGCTTCGGATTTATGGCGCTCG